GTAACACCACCGATGACATAGCAAAGGCATTCAATGCTTTTTACTCAAATTTAAATAACCTAGCCCCCCCAAATGGCCAACTCCACAACCTGAGAGAATATGTCACTGCGCACCTCCCACGCACTGTCCCGGCCGCTGACTCACACACGCTAGATGAACCGTTCACGCAGGAGGAGCTACTCGCAACCATTAAGTCCCTACCGAAGGGGAAAAGCCCGGGCCCAGACGGGCTAATGGCAAGATATTACCAAACATTAACACAAGAGCTATCCCCTCACTTTTTACACATATTGAATGGCCTCAACCACGACACGGTGCTTCCACCCCCCATGCTTTGCGCCTCGATTACTATCATTCCTAAACCAGGCAAAGACCCCACAAAGTGCGGCAGCTATAGGCCCATATCTCTTATAAACCTAGATCTCAAATTGATGGCGAAAATGGTAGCGAACAGGCTTAAACCGTTACTGCCGAATCTGATCCATGCAGACCAGGCCGGCTTTGTGCCGGGACGTGAAGCCAGGGACAATACCACGAAAATCTTAAATGTTATACATGGAGCAACTATCACTAGAACACCAACACTCTTAATGGCAATAGATGCTGAGAAAGCCTTTGATAGGGTAGACTGGTCCTACCTGTTCACAGTCCTGGAAGTCCTCGGAATTGGCCCAAGACTTATAAACTGGATACAGACTCTATACAGAGGCCCCTCGGCCAGAGTCAGAGTAAACGGCCAACTATCTACACCCTTCCACATTTCCAATGGCACACGCCAAGGCTGCCCTCTATCTCCCCTATTATTTGTCCTAGCCATGGAAACATTCCTAACAGCGATTCGGTCTAATACTGACATACACGGATTCAGGTACCATGGAGGCGAAGTGAAAGTCTCTGCATTTGCGGACGACGTTCTGTTTACACTCATAGATCCCATAAAAACTCTACCTCACATACAGTCGGAGATTCAATCTTCGGATCGCTATCAAATTTTAAAATCAACGCGGATAAGTGCGAGATCCTAGGAATCTCGGTACCCGTGGCACTGCAAACTACACTTCAACGAACACACACTTTTCCCTGGACACGGACAGGCCTGACATATCTGGGGGTCCGACTTACCACTACCATCACGGAACTTTACAACATCAATTACCCTCCCCTCATAGAGGATATTAAACAAGATCTGCACAGATGGGATTTACCCCATATCTCCCTAATGGGCAGGATCAGTGTCTTAAAAATGATGGTCCTGCCAAAAATACTATATATACTTCAGGCTCTGCCTATTCCACTTCCAGGGTCATTTTTTAAACGAATGAAGACTATCTTCGTTAAATATATATGGGGAGACAAACAGGCAAGACTTGCCTTTACCACACTGACGTCCACCACGGACAGGGGGGGGCTTGGGTTTACCTCACATATATAAATATTATGTAGCAGTCTTACTTACCAGACTAAAAGAGTGGACAGACACAAGTAAGAAAAGATCGTGGTACGATCTAGAACAGAGCTTTGTACCGGTCCCTCTTAAGACCCTCCCGTGGAAAACATGCCAACTCAAACACCTAACCCCCTCAAGACACCCACTTATTCACAACATGCTCACAGTCTGGAGACGACATAAAGATAAGTGGGGACTGTCCCCTGGAATCTCTAGATTTTTCCCCACGGCCTATAATCCTGACTTCCAGCAAGGACAGGGAGGGCCCTCTCTTGCCCGCCTCACGGGAATGCACTCACCGGACATTACTGAGCTACTAACTGAGGATGACCCACCTACATTTAAAGACAGACAAGTAACACAGAGACACACCACCCTCCTGGACATTATGAGCAGAGCACAGCTTAAGGGATTCCTGACGAGACACGTCCTCCCCCTCTGGACCCGGAGAGGAGATACACACTTTGAACTCCTTTGTGGCCCAAAGGGCGACCGTAAACGGCCCTTATCTAAAATATACCGTATCCTACAGTCGGCAGACAGGGACCCTACGACTCCCACATTCCAACAGAAATGGATGACAGACTTTCACATACATCTCTCGGACAAGGACTGGTCTAGTATTATGGAGACAGGTCTCAAAACCTCGATCAGTGTCACGCGTAAAGAGACCTTCTATAAACGGATTACCAGATGGTATAGAACACCAGCCGTATTACACGCTATATGCCCTTCACTTAACAATATCTGCTGGAGATGCTCAGCCAGTAGAGGGGATATGTTACACATCTGGTGGAGCTGCCAGGACATTCAGCGTTTCTGGCAACTCATAATCTCTGAGATTACAAAGATACTAGCACCAGCCACCCGCCTAGCGGCACCCCAGGTACTGCTTGGCTGGCCACGCACATTTAAAGAACCGCACAGGCAACACTTATTGCACATTTTGCTAGGTGAGGCAAACGCCCTGATCCCACTGTACTGGCGTAAACCCAGTATTCCGACCATGGAACAATGGGTACAAAAAGTGGAGGGAGTGAGGGAGCTAGAAGACATCCACTGGTCGATAATGGGGAAACGTAATAGACACCTCAAGACTTGGGAACCCTGGACAGAGTTTTGGACTCATTCCAGGACATAACCGTCCAAGAGACAGCCCCAGGTGGGACTGGACCCTTAGCAGTCAGATAAGAAGAGCGAGTCATGAAACAGCACAATATGCTGAACACGGGAAGAGTTTAAAAGAAACTACATAATGACTACCCCGACCTAGGCAGGGTCACTATCCCCCCTCCCCCCCACCACCCCCCCACAATCCCCACCCCCCACTATCTGTTGATCTTTACGGTTACTCACACAAACCACCATACCCGAGGACGGAAAGGGGACAACTTCTTGCTTTCCGACCTCCACTAAAGGAAAAGTGTACACCTTTTGGTATAACCTTGATGTAACCCCGGACAAGTTTTATGCCGGGACGCTTATGTGTGTGATGTGAAATGTATCAAAGATGCACTGTTCATGTAACCCTGAAATGTGATCATTGAATGCTCCCCTTTTTTTTTCTGTACCCCATTTCCTTGTACACGAGAAATAAAAACAATTTAAATAAAAAAAAAAAAAATGATTAATAAACATTCATATCTTGCCTTCCTTGACACTAGAGGAGGCATCATACAAGCTGGTCTCATGGATGAAGGAAGTAAATTGTTCACATCACTGAGCTTTATTGTTGTGCTGGGTCTCAGGATTTATATCATGACACCTTCCATCTCGATACCCTGGCAGTGTCAGAAAGGAGTGACCTAGAGCAGTGTTTCCCATCCAGGCGCTCTAGATTAGTGGTTCCCTACCCAGTTCTTGGGGTACACCAACAGTCCAGAATGTATAGATTTCCTAATTCTATTCCAATGGGGATTCTAGACCAATAGGGTAAGTAGACCATTGGTGAGCGAGAACTATATTGATGCAGTGCCATCAGAATCGCTAAACATTTACAGAGAAAGATTTGGGAAAATATAGTTCAGCTAATCATCAGATGTAACCCGTTCTCTACTCTCCATTACAATAAAACAGGACACTGCACTAGTGGTTACTTAACCCTTGAAAAGAGAGTGAATTTGTCAAGCCAACTAAAAAAAGATAGTTATAGCTAAGGAAACATAGAGATGGGGGGGTAGGGGTGCTGTGTGTGTGTGGGGGGGTAGGGGTACTGTGTGTGTGTGTAGGGGAGTAGTGGTGGTTAAAAAAAAAAAAAAGTATATTAAGTCTTTATCCTCCCTCCCTCCTTCTTACCTTTGAAGGAGGGGGGGAACACAGCCATCCCTGGTGGTCCTGTGGTGGTAAGTACTGTAGGGAGCAGCTCTCCTGTCCTGCCGCGCGATGCTGTGTGGAGCATTGCAATCGTAACACGCGGCAACGCTCCACACAGTTTGCTCGCGGGAGGACAGGAGAGCTGCTTCCTAGAGCCCTCCCCCTGCCTCCCGACACGGAAGCATAGTAGGCGCCTGCCGTTTTGGGCAGGCAGGTGCCTACTCTGCATTGATGGTGAACCTATGGCCGCGTGCCCACAGAGAGGGCCCGGCGTGCCACAGGTTCGCCATCACTGCTCTATACCATGTGACAAACACACAGCCACGTGTGTAAAATTTCATAACAAACATTACAAACTGGATTGAGAGAAAAAGTGCAGAGTCACACAGAATGAGTTGACAATATTCACTAAATCCCATATGAGATAGGAAGGCATTGTGTTAAATAGAAAGAGAGTCCAATCGGTGTTGGAGCCTTTTATGTAGAAAAGTGTAACTAAAGTAATTGAGTTTAATTAGGGACATTATTCTTAAAGAATAAAATATAGTGTATGTAGAATATTGTAATATAAAAAGGTGCAATATATACAGTGAAAATGGTGTGAGTGCGATCTAACACCTGAGTGGGAAACCCCTTATACCACTCAAAATGAAACCTAAATACAATACATACAATAGGTGGATCACACTCCTTAAAATCTCTAAAAGAGAATAAAAACAGCAAAATAGTATAATATTGTTGACAAATGGATATCCAGAATATGAATGTAGATGATCAGGTACTCACAAACCGAGAGCCAAACAAGAACTTGTGGCTCTCATGGGAACAGCACTGGGACCATTTGTAGGATGTCCCTTTCCTTCTGTGGATCTTCTGGTGGCCAGAAAGAACAAGCTGGAAACACTTACTTAAAACAGTAATGTGTTTATTAATCCCAATAAAAGCAGGAACAAATGTAAGGAGAATGTCTCCAATAAAAAATAAAATTGTACAATATAATAAAGAGTCCAACCCAACTCCTTTTTTGGACTCTTTTTATTATATTGTACATTTTTATGTTTTGCGGCCCGGCCCACGTGGCAAACCACCAGGGCCTACGTCCAAGGGGTCCATCGGGTGGCCCATGCTGTTAGAACCACCCTATGGGTTCGGATTTTCAGGGGGCCCGGTCAGCACTGCGGCGGTTTAACAGGGCGACCGGGCCCCCTGTGATGACTGCCCTGGTCACTTCTCCCAGCCTAAACAGAGCCCGCACGGGATGAAGCAGAGGAGGGAGTCAGAGTGGGAATCACTCCATCAACCTGAGCCACCACTGGACCCCAGGGAAAGTCACCCTCCTGCACCTAAAAGGTAGGAAACAGGAGGGTGTCTTAAACATTTTTTATGGGTGTGTGTGTATGTCTGTATGGATGTGTGCCTGTCTGTTTGTATGTATGTATGTGTCTTTGTATGCATGTGTGTCTTGTGTGTGTCTGTATGTATGTATCTGTCTTTGTGTGTGTGTGTATGTATGTATGTGTGTGTCTGTCAGGGGGGAAGGAAGGGTGAAAAGAGAGAGGGGGGGGCGCATGGATCAGTTTCGCACTGCGGCCCCATGGATTGTGTGTACGTCACTGCTACGGAGCAACTGAAAATGCAGTGTTTACATTAAAAAGCCTGCCATACTATAGTCATCAGAAAAATTACAGCTTAATGTAGTGGTTATGGTGTGTATAGTGTCCATGTAATGATTTGCCGGAATTCCAAGTGAGATTTCTAGCTGTTTAATATATTTTATTTGATTATTTAGCACAACAATTACTTAGACTTGGTTAATCAAGTGTAGAATGTCACGCATATCCATTCAGCTGTCTACTTTAGAGGAATACATGTGTTTCACTCAGCTCAGTTGGTGGTTTCTCTGTGAGCACGGCTAATTCGGGAAGATGAGTTATTATGACATTTCTAAGGGATGTGTGATTCAACTCTGTCACTGCACTCATCCTTGGATCAAGCACAAATTGTAAGCGTCAATTCAGCTACTGTCAGGGTTACCTTATTTTTAAAACAACAACAAAAAAACTTAATTTTTTTAAATTTTTATATTTTTTTTTATTCTTCCTCAAGTTTTTTGTTGTTTTTTTTAATTATAATATAGTGAAAGTATACATTAAAATAAAAATTATAATCATCACTTACTCCATTTCTATAAGAACTCTCTCTCATTTATTAATTTAAAAACACTTTTCCCCATAAATATACATGATCACATTCTCCCATATAAATACAAACACATCCACTTTATTCACACATAAGGGTTTATTCTTATTTGTGCAGACACACACTGTCCATTACACACACACAAAACCAGAGCAGGATTAACCATAAGACGGCCATATGTGGCCCAGGGTTTAAAACAGGGACCCTGGAACATGCCCCATTAAATACCCCCAAGTGAAGAATTAAGGGGGCCTACACAAATAAACTGCCTGGGGATCTTATTCCTTCTCTGATGCAAAAACACTATTAGAGGAGGGTAAAAGAGAGAGTGTGGCATTAGATTGTAAGAAGGGAAAATTTAGAAGAGTGATATGGACCCCAGGCCTGTACACAGGTATCACATTGGTGCGAGTGAGTCTAACTGACGAGACAGGTTGCTTTGCAGGTAGAACCAGGTATTAGTGTGTCTGTGATTGTCTGAGGTGGAAATGAGAATATGTTTGTAAGACCTTATTTCTTCAGTGCTGAGGAACCCATGGGGACCATCAGGGTTGCCATCATAAATTTTGGAGCTACTTTCACAGATCAAGGCCTGGACCCCCAGGGCACATCCCAAGTTCTCCAACAAAAATAAGTAAGAGGGGATTGGGGGAGGGGCACAACAGCTTGTATACTGAAGAGTGGGGAACCTCTGTACAACTGGAAGAGATTAATTAAACAATTTTTTAATATATATATATATATATATATATATATATATATATTCTAAAAGTTTTTTTTAGTCTATTCCCATTGTCCAGAGTTTCTGCATCACACTGAGGTTGGCAGTAATGCTATTGTAAATAGCCTTGGACCTGTTGAATATGATGTCTGTTCCATTCATTTGGGGATCCATTAAAATAACATGGAGACCTATTTTAGTCTACACTTGGTTTTACGAACCAGTGAATCAGTGCCATTTTTCATAAGTATGTGAAATGTGGAACAATATTTAATGTGCATAGATAAAAGCGCATTTGTCATTTTGTATTACATATTTTCTATCAATACTTAGAGCGTATTTGCATTTATTTTTTAGTCTGTAGATGGCTGGGTCCATGTTGCTTTCCATGGGTGTTTTTCTTTGATAATTTTAAGAGTATATTTTTTCAAGCGAGGACAGTGTTTTAGGAAAGCTTGAATCACTTCAGGTCCTACTAAACAGTAACAATGAATTTCTTCCAATCCACCACACTTTGTAGCCAAATCAATAAGAGCAGAGTCTAGGTTACTGGATGAGGTGGTGCGTATAACTAGCTTATCTAGAGTGCGCCAGTAGTGGTTGGTGACAAATCTAATTTGGTTCACCATTTCGTTGAAGGTGTTGAGTTGTAAGGTTGACACAGGAATATTTGGTCGTAAGGTTCGACGGATTTTCCAAGCAGGGATAGTGTGATCAAGTTCTAGGTCCACACGAAGGGTGGGATGACGTAGACAAAGCTCACCCCATGCTTTATCAGATATGGAATGTGTGTATTTATCCAACCTTTCACACAAAATATCCAGGCGCATAAGTGGTGGCCTGCATGGTTTCATAAATTCACGGAAAACCTCTTCAGACAAACTGGAACAAAAGGTGCCTAGGACAGAGAGTTTGGGACAGAACTCTAAAACTGCTTTCAACGTTTCAGAGGTTACTTTGCAAACTAATGTGCCGTTGTTTATGTATAAACTATGTAGATTTGGGCTCCCTCGAGCAATAAGTCTTACAAAGCCATCACTAAAAGTAAAAGGGAACATTCGTAGATCAATGTGTTGGAGGTCAACATGACTTTCCTTCCGACAAAGGTTCATGACGCTTTCCAAAATCTCCTGCCCAGAATAAAACAAGGGGTTCTCTCCACAGCATACAATAGTCAGGCTTTGCAGTTTGTTTTTCTCTTTGGCCAGACACTCTAGAATTTTTGATACACTATTGCGATTTGTTTCTTTGGATTGGTCAAAAACAATCTTTAGTTGTTTTATCTGGACCAGAAAGTGCTCCAATCCGTCGAGTGTTAGCAACTCTTCTTCCGACACCCAGCTATAACCAAAAGGAAAGGGACACAAGCTCCATTAGTCTTTGCATTCACACTATCTTTAACCAGTACTTGCGTTTAGTTACAATAAAATGCTAAGAACGTGTATATGTTTCTTGCAGTGTACCAAATAATTAAGCACCTGCTCAATAATTTTGTGAGTATTACCATTTTAGTGAGCCTGGTGTGGTCATTTTGTGTTTTATCTTTTTCTTGCAATCTCAACATTTATCAATAAAACAGGGTTATTGGGTGGTACAAACACAATTATCCTTGTTTTAAAAACGCTGTGTTATATGAGGGAATGACTCCAAGCTCCTTAACCACTATAGCCGGCTGTATTGGTTCTGCTGCCAAGAAGTGCCTTTGCACTCTCAAAGAGTAATTAGTCAAACCATTTTAAAGAACGGTTTCACAACTTATTTGAGTCCTTGGGCCGCCTGCTCCACATCCAGATTTTTCTGCAACCTGTTTCCCCTTAGCCAAGCTGAATGTCTTAGCCAACTTGAAGCAGCCACTTGAAGCAGCCCTGCCATTCAGCGTCCCCACGCTCTGCTTGGGGACGCAGAATTTTCCTCATAGAGATGCATTTATTCAATGCATCTCTATGAGGAGGTCCTGATTGGCCAAAACAGTGTTTGGCCCCGCCCCCTTGCTGATTTGAACCAATCCAATGCTTTCCATAGGAAAAGCATTGGATTGGCTAAAAAGCGGCAATTTTGATGATGTCACCAAGGGGGCAGGACAAGCGCCAGCGCCGGCATACCCCTGGGGTGTCTGGCAGGAAGGGAAGCGCTTTGCACAGCACTCCCCTCATGCCTGTTACTCCATGTAGCGTGACAGAACAGGCGGACTGCAGTAGGGGAGCTTCTGTTCCCCTTACCTGGTCTAACAGCTCAGCTACGGTACATGGGCGGAGGTGAGGCTGAGCAGGCACAGTGGAGGTTAAGGGGGATAGAAGAAGGGCACAGCAGTGGAGCTGGGGACAGAGGAAGAACACAGGAGAGTATTGGGGACAAAAAAATTGCACAGGAGCGGAAGGGAAAACACGAGGGGAGGTAAAAAGAAGGGCACAGAAGGGGATAGTAACGGAAGAAAGTCCCAGGAGGGGGACAAAAGAAGGGCACAAGACCGGAGGGGGGACAAAAGGACACAGAAGCATAGGGGGACAAAAGAAGGGTACTGGAGGCTAGGGGGTCAGAAGAAGTGCACATGAGTGGAAGGGGAATGGAAGAAGTGCATTGGGAGGGGGGAAAGAAGGAAGGCACAGGAGGGTAGTGGGGACAAAAAAAAGGAGTGGATATGGGCACAGGAGAGGAGGGGGCACAAAGAGACACGCAGAGGGGCTGGCAGGGACAAAGACACACATAGGAGCTGAGGGGGACAAAGAGACACACAGTGGGAAAGGAGAAACAAGGCAATGGCACATTAGACCTCCTTATTCAATGCTTTCCTATGGGAGAAATCTGATGCTGGAGGTCCGTGAGGACGTCCAGCGTCAGATAACGGACCAAAAGTCTGTTTGGATTCCGGAAGCGCCCCCAGTGGCTGTCTGGTAGACTGTAATGTTTAACACTGCAGCACTAAGTGCAATAGGGACACAGCAGCAAGACAACTTCAATGAGCTGAAGTGGTCTGGGTGCCTACAGTGTCCCTTTAAGTGAATGAACTGAGTGAACCTTCTTTGAAGGAGAAAAATAAACATAAACAACCAAAGCAGACAAACTACAAGACAAGTAAAACAAGCACAATAGTAGTGAGAATAAATTCAAATAAACTACCATATATACTCAAGTATAAGTCTTGTTTTTCAGCACATTATTTGTGCTGAAAATCCCCCTCTCGACTTAAACTCGAGTCAGTGTCTGTATTATGGCAACTTACATTGCCATAATACAGACCAGGACCGCCGGGCTCATTACAAGCCCGGCAGTCCTGTTGGGGGATGGCAGGGAGCTGTTACCTACCTTTCCTGCATCTCCTGTCAGCTCCCTTCTCCTGCACTCCGGTCAGCTCCCTTCTCCTCCACTGTAAGTCTCGCGGTGTGTTGCCACGGTAACCCGTGGCAACGCTCTGACCCCGCGGCTCTCGCGAGACTTACAGTGGAGCTGACCGGACCAGAGGAGAAGGAAGCTGCAGGAAAGGTAGGTAACAGCTCTCTGCCAGCCCCCCTCCTACACAGCCCATCCACTGGACCACCAGGGAATGAGAGCCCCCCTCCCTGGCCAGCTAACAAGCAGGTAGGGGGGACGAAAATAAAATTAAATAATAAAAAAATATATTACAATAAAAAAAATTTAAATATTAAAATTAAAAAATAAATAATAAAATAAAAAATACTAAAATAAAAACATTTAAATATTAAAACTAAAAAAATTACAAATAATAAAAATGCCCTCCTCCCCCAGTTCACACACACACACTCATACAAACACACACTCTGCATTGTATACACACACTCATACACACACACACTCTGCATTATATACATATACACACACTGCATTATATACACTCCTACAAACACACACTCTACATTATACACACACACTCATACAAACACAGACTCTGCATTATATACACACACACACATCACATATAATTCAGAGTGTGTGTATATAATGCAGTGTGTTTTTGTATGAGTGTGTGTGTGTATAATGCAGAGTGTGTGTGTGTGTGTATAATGCAGAGTGTGTGTATAATGCAGTGTGTGTATGAATGTGTGTGTGTGTATAATGCAGTGTGTGTGTGTATAATGCAGTGTGTGTATGAATGTGTGTGTGTGTATAATGCAGTGTGTGTATGAATGTGTGTGTGTGTGTATAATGCAGTGTGTGTATGAATGTGTGTGTGTATAATGCAGTGTGTGTATGAATGTGTGTGTGTATAATGCAGTGTGTGTATAATGCAGTGTGTGTATGAGTGTGTGTGTGTATAATGCAGTGTGTTTTTGTATGAGTGTGTGTGTGTATAATGCAGATTGTTTGTATAAGTGTGTGTGTATCTAATGCAGTGTGTGTGTTTGTATTAGTGTGTGTGTATATAATTATAAAAATCACAGAATTTCATAGCCCCAAGTTTTACCCTCGACTTATCCACGAGGCATAGCATATTTCACAAGTGTTGGTCACAAAACTGCACTCGACTTATACATGAGATCGACTTATACATGAGTATATACGGCACTTATCAGTATATATATCCGTGACCAGAGACTGGGACATTTCAGCTCATGGCTTGCTTTGAATGGTCCCAAATTATAACTATTACAGTGTTGAGGAACAAAGCTAATACATACCTAATCTCTGTGTAGTGCCAAACTGTGGAAGATGCCACTCCACATGCCCAGGACTGGCACACCTGGGATACTGTCTGTCTGTCTCCTAGAGGTAGGTAGTAAAAGATTTGTGCAAGGATTTCTTGAGGCATGTCCTCCCATTGTGTAGACATTGTATCTTCTCCACGGGAACAAACTGACCCTGTATGAGCGGTTAGAACAGAATGAATAGATTACAGAAATAGGTGAGCTTTACAATCAGGAATAGAGCTGTCGTCATGCCTTTTGTAAGTGATGTGTGGGAGGAGATACCGTACAGGCCGGTTTTACTGTTAAATCACCTTTGCACTTATAAGGAAAACTTGCGAATGAAAGGTGTTGCTGCAATACTGAGTGCCTGTTTATTGAATTTTACAATGGCTGCAGCTTCCTGCTTAACTGGAGAAGTAAATGCAAATATTTAGACTGCAAGTGCCCCTGGGCAGGGCTCCAGGTCAATACTACTATGTAAAAGTTTTATTTCAATTAGTTGCATGTTGCTTATGCAAATATACTGCACTCCGGTCCATGTTGGAGATGTATAAATAATGATACATTTTTAATAATAAACAATGTCCTCTTTTTTGTGCCCAATTAGAGCATGGCTCAAAACATTTGTAATTTATTCTACTAATCTCCTTCTCAGCAGTGGAACTACCGCCGGTGCAACTTCACCAGGCTGACAAGCTGCGAGAAACCCATCTTTGTTTTGTCACGGGCCCCTTTTTAGATGTGAAGCCCGGGGTGCTGGGAGGAAATGAGTATGTCACTTCCTCAATTTACCAACAAGCTGCAAAGGACGAGAGGGGAGAAAGCATGTCAGTGTGTTTGTGTGTGTGTAGCAGTATATGTGCATACATACCAGCATTCAATGAGTAACACTACAAACCAACACACACCAGCATTTATATACCAAAACTACACACATGCAATCAAACGCCAACTCGACATACAAACACCGTACACAAGTACACCACTGCTTTTAAATAGCAATAGTATTTACAAATACACCCCCCTACAAGCACACACTTAACCCCTTAAGGACGGAGCCAAATGTACACATTGTGAACAAAACAAAATGTAAACAAAACCTGGCATTTGCGCTACATGTCTGTCCAACCGTAATACACCTCTTTCATAGTAAATGCACCCACCCTTATTATATATCATTTTATTCAGGGGAAACAGGGCTTTCATTTAATATCAAATATTTAGCTATGAAACATAATTTAATATGAAAAAAATGGGAGAAAATACGATTTTTTTGATTTTTTTAGTTCTAAATTGCATTTTAAAGGTCAGTGTCATAATACTGTTTGATTTTACTGCAATAAAATACACATATTTGTATTTAGTAAAGTCTCACGTGTAAGACAGTACCCCCTATGTACAGGTTTTATGGCGTTTTGGGAAGTTACAGGGTCAAATATAGCACGTTACATTTGAAATTGAAATTCGCCAGATTGGTTACGTTGCCTTTGAGACTGTATAGTAGCCCGGGAATGAAATTTACACCCATAATGGCATACCATTTGCAATAGTAGACAACCCAAGGTATTGCAAATGGGGTATGTCCAGTCTTTTTTAGTAGCCATTTGGTCACAAACACTGGCCAAAGTTAGCGTTAGTATTTGTTTGTGTGTGAAAAATGCAAAAAACGCCAATTTTGGCCAGTGTTTGTGACTAAGTGGCTACTAAAAAAGACTGGACATACCCTGTTTGCAATACCTTGGGTTGTCTACTATTGCAAATGGTATGCCATCATAGGGTAATTTTCATTCTTGGGCTACCATAGGGTCTCAAAGGCAACGTAACCAATCTGGCGAATTTTAATGTGAAAAAACTGTAACGCAAGCCTTATATTTGACGCTGTAACTTTTGAAAACACCATAAAACCTGTACATGAGGGGTACTGTTGTACTCGGGAGACTTCGCTGAACACAAATATTTGTGTTTCAAAACAGTAAAAAGTATCGCAGCAATAATATCGTCCGTGTAAGTGCTGTTTGTGCGTGAAAAATGCAAAAACTTCACTTTTACTGGCGATATCATCGTTGTAATACATTTTACTGTTTTGAAACACTAATATTTGTGTTCAGCGAAGTCTCCCGAGTAGAACAGTACCCCCCATGTACAGGTTTTATGGTGTCTTGGAAAGTTATAGGGTTAAATATAGTGCTAGCAAATTAAATTCCCTTTACTTTCGCATGGGTTGTCAGGCAGGTCCCGCTAATTGTAATTAATTAAGATACCTAATTATGTAAAAATATTACATAAATATATATGTAGAATTAATATATGTATATATATACGTATGTGTATATATATGTATATATCTATATAATTTTTTAAAATATTTTTATTTATATATAGGTATATATATAGTGATATATACGTATATATTTATGTATATAGATATATATATTATTTCGTTCTACGTGTATTTTGATATATATATATATATATATATATAATTTCACAAACAGTTAGAACGAAATAACACACATCTATATATTTTTTAATTATTTATTTTTAATTATTTTTTTAATTTTATTTTTTAACGTATTTACATTTTTATTTTTTTTATATTATATATAAATATATATATAACAATAATTATATATATATTTAATCAGTATCAGTCTACGTGTAATTTGATATTAATATATATATATAATTATATATATATTAATAGTAAAATACACCTAGACGGTGTATGTGTGTGTATGTATATGTGTATATATATACTTAGATCATATATATATAATATATATATATGATCTAAGTATATATAATAATTTTTTTTTACACCATTAACTTATTTTACTTTTATTTTCAGCCAGCAGGGGGACCACCTGTCATTACAGGCAGCCCCCCTGCCGGCAATACAGAAGCCAGCTATACCCGGCCATGTGATTGTGGGGTCCTCGCTAGGACCCCACTCTCACATGGCCGGGGGGCTTCAACGAGGACGGATGTGCCGCGGGGGGCTCCCTGGGAGTCCCCCCAACCGCGATCGCCGGCGTGGGACCGCCGGCGACCGGGTAAGTTAACAAAAACCGGAGGGCGTACAATTACGCCCGGCGGCGTTTAGAGCCGCCTATTAGAGGGCGTAATTGTACGTCCTCCGGTTTTAAGGGGTTAATCTATACAAAAACATGCTTACATTCAAACACAAGCACCGCTCACAAATACAACTCTGCAAGATGGGCAAATGGTAGATCCGCAGCTGGCAAAGCATTGTGGGAGTTGTATGACAGATAGGGATGTACATTTTGGCTATCCTTCCCCTGGGGGGCAAAAATAAATTATTTTTATTAGGGCAGCATCTACATCGGTTCCACATTCTTCTCAATGTTTTGGTTTGGTTTGGATTTGCGAGTCTATTAATGAGATCAGCTGAACTATAACGTACACCATTTTGCAAGATAGCGGGGGGTATGTATAAAGACTAATTCTGGGGCAAAATTCCATTGGTTTTTATGGCAACTATTTCTCTTTTAGAACTTTGCCTCTGAATTACTCTTTACCCAGTTTTCCCACTGTGTCGCCCAGTGACTTTAACATAAACTGATCAAATGTTTTGGAACTAGTGAGAGCGATTTATATTAAAAAAAAGAAAAACTTTTACCCTTGTTAAGGTATCAGTTCTAGGGATTGGTCAAATCATCCTAAACACCAAATAGCAAAATGCAGCCTAAAATACCCAGCTGTCATTATATATGAGTTGGAGATTTAATTTTCTTTGCCTCCAGATATTTTTTTTTATATGTTTTTCCCATTCACTAATGTTTAGGTAAGCACCCAAAGAAAAGCAAGTGCGGTAGAAGCTACAGGATATTCAAGAAAAGTTTTAGCACTCACATGGTTAAAGCTACTGTGTAAACATCGAAGACCAGGGCGCATATGTGGAATGTCAGGAACGCCCACCATTAGTTAGCATGTGTAAGCAATAAATATTTGCTTAATAATTGAATATAATCATTGTAATGCGGGTGTGACTTTTGTATCCTTTCTATAAGTATGAAATTCGTCATTTATAGTATATATATTCTTTGTTTGCCGGTGGGGGGTGTCCAGTGCATCGGATAACTGATAACGGCACTGAAACATTTGCAGTTTGCTAAACTATGGATGTTCACTATGTCGTTCTATATGGTGCCAAGTTATCCCCTATTCACTCCCTTCTATACTTACCACGGTACAAGTATCAGCAATATTTTTCTGAAACAAAGATTTTCTACCCTCCCACAGACATGGATTGGCTATCAGGTGTCATGTGACCTGAACCTTTTAAATGCTGAACTGCAGCTTGGAATCCAAAGACATTTCTGCCGTGTGGGATCTGGCAGCCGCAGAGCGGCCAATACTTACTGGCTGCTTTATCTGGGGTGTTCTGTGTTTAATCTGTTTTAGATTCAGGTTTTTTTTTTTTCTGTGGCTGTTTGTAATGTAGGATGCTGCATTCATGATTGGTGGGGAGGTACATAAACTTTGACGAGATAGCTCTGTGAACAAAATAGAAATTTACACTTTTATAAATTGTACTGGTTATACCCCCAGGTTCTGTTACTTCCTGGTTTGGTTAGCTTAATTGAACTAATCTCAAGAGGCAGCAATTGCCCAGAGCACCCGCCTTGCGAAGACTTCTCATTGAGCTGCATTGGGAAAGTCTGTGATTGGTCAGACACATCAAATCTGGGCAGGATTAGAAGAGGAGGGCTTGCAAAGGGAGCTGACAGGAGATCTGCAGTTTTTGAAAGTTGTTTTTAGGTATAACTTCAATGAAATGCAAAATGTAACGCATGCAAGTTTTAATTGAGGGCCTATGTACTAAACAGGCGACTTTTATTTATTTTGTATTTGACTAATGGAGTGTCCCTTTAGACTGCAATAAGCAAACTTTGTCTTCAGTTGAGCTGGACAATCTTTTTATGTAATTAAATATCTTACTCTATTTTGCTATTTGGAGATCAACCCAATACAATTCAGAGTTTAGTGAATACATTCTCCATTGTTCCATTTCCTTTATCTGACCACCATCTGCTGAACTTTGACATCAACATATCCCGTACCCAAATCTCACCACCCTCAACTCTCCAATCTCAAAGAAACCTCCACAGGGCTGCAGTGTGTGTGTGTCAGGGGTGCACTGTGTTTGTGTGTGAGTGAGGGTGCTGTGAGTGAGTGTGATTATATCCCCCCTCCCTTTTTACCTTTAGCCTGGAAGGGGGGATCGTGCTGCTGCCATTCCTGGTAGTGGTGAGTGAACTCTAGCCTGTAGACTGCTCCAAATGTCGCGAGAGGAACCCGGCAGAGCTGCAAGATAGAGCTCCACCGGGTTCTTCTCCCGTCTCCCTCACTCTCATCCCTGCCGGTGGCCGCAATACACTACATGTTGGCCGGTGACGGAGATCTTTGATCTCACTACCACCGGCCCGTCATGGAATGCAGCAGGGCCGACACTTGGATAGTGTCAGCCCTGCATGGCCCTGCTCTGGGCAATTGCTGCCTCTTGAGATCCTGTGAGCAACCCTGCCAGCCGAGGCCCACTGGGCGTGCCTGATGGCCAGTCCGGGCCTGCATGCACAAATCACTGTTTTCAGTCTGAGGGAGAGGGGTCATACATAGATCACAGTCTGAGGGTGCGGGATCATGCACAAATCACGGTGTTCAGTCTGAGGGAGTGGGGCCATACACAGATCAGTGTGTTCAGTCTGAGCATGTTGGTTCAATGCTCGTCCAGGGCAGACCTGCTGAAGAGCTCTAGCATGAAAATAAAAAGACTATATTTGTTGTGCACAGCGCTAACAAATTTAATAACATGCTTGCACTGTGTTTGCTTGAAATTTGTCTCTGGTGTCTCCATAGATGGGATACCAGGTGTCACATCCTGTTCCTAGCTGCGGCTCATTCTGGCAATGGCTTCTGGTATCCAGTACTCTTTTTACAAGTCTTGTTTACTTTTCTTGTTTTTTCTGGTTTTCTATTCCATGCCTGGTTTTCTTTAAAGGGACACTATAGTCACCTGAACAACTTCAGCTTAATGAGATTGTTCAGGTGAGAACTATAGCTCCCTGCAGCCTCTCTCATGTAAACACTGTATTTTCTGAGAAAATACAGTGTTTACATTGAAAGCTAGGAACACCTCCAGTTGCAGTCACTCAGAATGCCACCAGAAGGACTTCAGAGTTGATGGAGGCATAGTATGCCTCCATACACTCAGATCTGCTGTCAGCAGAGCACAGAGCAGCACTGTGCAGAGCATCCTGTGATTCAGTATCTCCTCCCTCTGCGTGCAGACACTGAACATTCCTCATAGAGATTTGTTGATTCAGTTCATCTCTATGAGGAGATGCTGATTGGCTAGGGCTGTGTTTGAATCATGCTGGCTCTGCCCCTGGTCTGCCTCTTTGCCAGTCTCAGCCAATCTTATGGGGAAGCACTGTGATTGGATCAGGCTACCACGTCAGCAGACTGCTTGTTTTTCTGAGTCTAACAGCATGCAGATTTACAGCTTCAGGCTTGAATACAGTAAGATTTTTACTATATTTATGGAGGCATGAGGGGCCCAGGGGGGGCTAGATGGTGGTGTTAACATTATAGGGTCAGGAATACATGTTTGTGTTCCTGACCCTGTAGTGATCCTTTAACCCCTTAAGGACGCAGCTTCAAAAACTGGACTTACCCTTACCCTTATAGAGTTATCACCAGCTACTTTCATGATATAACTAGCACTTTTCTAACCAATTATACCTCCAATCCCTGATATAATATGAAAGGGACATTCCAAACACCATAACATGTATGCGGGATTAAGGCCCCACGGCTGAAATGTTGTATCCTTGTTTTGTCCTGTATTCTACAACACAACTATCTGGTTCACACAGCGTGTCGCTCTTTATTTGTTGGTACACACGCTATTTAACCAACACACACTCTGAGATGCACATCTACTGATAGATACACACAGGCACTGATTTGACACAACTCACACATTAGTTTTGTTTGTTGGTTTTTTTTTCGTTTTGTTTAGGCTCATCCATCCTCCCTACCTTTTGGGAGAGCTGGCCGTGGGCTCTTTCCCTGGGGTCCATGTTGTTCCTCATTGCTTCCTCGCATGCCGTTTAGTGATGTTGGGGCCGAAGTGACATCATATGCCTGCTCCCGACATCACCGCAGAATGTGCAACAGAGCACTGAGGAAGAGTAGGGACAACAGAGTTCCCTTGCAGCCACCCGGATTCTTCCCCACCCCTGGACACTGTATTTCAGAGGGGCAGGCACCTACTCTGCCTTCGTGTATATCCACCCCTCTCGCAGCCTCTGTAATTCCACCAGTACTCTAGGTGACTATATATGTAAATAGTCCCATTTCCCATCTCACCTCACACAGTTTAAACGCTGCATTTTTCAAATGCCACTGCACCTATAAGCCTACTCATTTTCTTCAAGGTCAACTCCCTCCTGTGCAACATACCTGGACTTTGTGCATATACTGCATTTAGATTAGTGGTAACAGTAAAGAAATAGCTGTAACCAGACCCAACTCAAAGAATCAATTCAAGGGAGTATCAGAAGGATGAAACATACACATAACAAGTAGGGAAAAGAGCATATTATTATTATTATTGTATGATTTTGAGATAACTGAATCACAATTCCGTACGTTATAAAATACATACAAATAATATATGCAAGAATTTTTGTTTTGTTTTTGCATGTTGAGAGAAATATTACAGTGGCATATGTTATTTTTTGGGTAAAAGAGTACAGACTACAGACATTAGAAATGAGCTGGTTTACAAAACCTTGAAAGTTGTAACATATAGGTTTAAGAAAGTATCCATTTTTAAAAAAATATTTAATAAAATATATGGCCTAAGACACATTGATTTACAAAGTGGCTTAATGAGCTGCACACTGCTGCTGAAATCATTTACAATCAGAAGTCAGTCATACCCTGGCCTGCAGGCTGGTTTCTGAGTGCAACTCAGCTCAACTATTTTCCCATCATAAGTGCAATCCTTTCACAATACAAGGAAAATGTAGCATTAGGATTGCATTCCTAACACTACAGTGCCAATGTTCCTAGTTAAATACAGGCCCACCCACACACACACACATCCATAAAAATTATTAAGAACGGTTTTGCTAACCTTTTCCCAGTGCTGACGCTCCATCGGTGACTCTCACCTCTTCCAGCACCTTCTCCACAATGATTAAATCCATTCCTCCTCATAGAGGAGCATTGGGGACCTGATGCCCATGCGCAGTGTGCGCCATGCATGCTATCAAGCTTCTCCCTAGGAAAGTATTGTATTTAAAGGAAAACTATAGTGTCAGTAATTCACGTCTTCCTGACACTAGAGTCTTGAAGTGGCTGTTTAGGTTCCCTTCTCCTGTCACATCGCAGTAAAAAGGTGATTTTACTCACCCTTTTATCATAAGCCACACAGGTCTCACCATGGCTTGTTCCACCTCCATGGCTGAGATAATCAGTATTGATAATTTCAGCCAATCCAATGCATTCCAATAGGAAAGCATTGGAAGGCTGTTGCACATGCACAATATAGTATTGCTAATCTCAGCCATGGAGGTGAATCTAGGGAGCCTCAGAGATTTTTCCTATTACATTTATTGGAAAAGGGAGGGCAATATATAATTTTGGACAGAGACACTATAGAGTTAAGAGTGCAAAAATTAAAGTGTTCCTTTAGTCATAACTATTTTTTTGCGGGTTAGTTTACTTTTATTTTTTTTCCCTACAGGATTATAGTAAGGCTCTAATGAACCCCACTTTTCTTAAAGGATCACTATAGTGTCAGGAAAACAAAGCGGTTTTCCTGACACTATAGTGCCCTAAGCGTGCCCCCACCCTCAGGGTCCCCCTGCCTCGGTGCTGGTGACCTCTCCTCCTCACCGTCCGCTCCCGAGTGGAGCGGAATGCACATGCGCGGCAAATGCCGCCAGTGCATTCTAACAGTCCATTGGAAAGCATTTCTCAATGCTTTCCGATGGACGTTCTGCACGCTGGATGCTGCACAGCCACTAGAGGTTGGATTAACCCTGCTATGTAAACGTAGTTTCTCTGAAACTGCTATGTTTACATCTGAAGGGTTAAAATCTGAGGGACCTGGCACCCAGACCACTTCATTGAGCTGAAGTGGTCTGGGTGTCTATAGTGTCCCTTTAAGCTTTTCTATAAATTCATGTGTGGGTATCATTACTTAATAAAAAGAATTCTCTAAGCATCATAACCACTATCATTTAGTGGTTATGGTGTTAGGGGTGTCTTGATGGAAATCAATGTTAAACTGTCAAATGATGTAAAGGCCCGATGTAGTGGTTACGATGCCAGGTTCCCTGATAAGGGGGCAAACTGTTTAGTAACATTTTGCCCCCTTACCTGGATCTCCACTCTGCTCCAATGTTTCCTGGTGGTCCAGTGATGCGCTTCCGACTTTAGCAGAGCCGCAGAAGCCTATTTATTGGCTGAGAGGGTCAGGTGACTGCTCTCTGCCAATTAATGCAATTCTGTGCAAATTGTACAGAATTGGCATTTGCCAGCCTGCAACTCTTGTTCCGGACCATGTCATGACACCCAACTGAAAGTGCTGGAGCTGGAGCAGCAAAGGGGTTAAAATCCATTTTCATCCAATTTCATAGCGAAATGCTGGACATACGGACTACAGCCTCTATGACCACTTCAGATCACTGAAGTGATCATGGTGCTTGGAGTAACCCTTTAAGAATGGTTTCACTCTTGATTAAACTTCTCTGCGAATGTCCACACTGCTTCCAGTCTGGCTAATATGATAAAGCAAGGGTTCAACGTTCCACATTATCATCCCAACTCATACCAAAATAGGACATTATTCATTGGCTGAAAGTGTCAGCTGACGGATCTCGGAAAATAAAAAAATGTCCAACTTTGCATGAGTTTGTTTGATATTCCAGAAATATGACCTTTCATTTTATCATACCAACTGAGGCCACAAGGCATGGGTGCCTGGCATAGATAGATTAATGTTAAACCATTTTTAAAAGGTTTGACAGTTTAACATGAGACCTCACCAGGGGACTCCTGGTATCGCAAACACTACAGCAGCATCTGCATCACTAGTAACTACCATAATAGGTGGGCCTGCTATAAAAAGGGGTCAGGATGGGCCCATCCATTGACAGGCTTCTTAACCAGACCCCAGCTTTCAGGACCATAGTGTCCCTAGAATTGGGACAGTTGGGAGGTCTGCATTTCAACAGCATCTGCCTTTAGTAAATCGACATGTTTGTATGACCACCATATACTTCTCATGAAAATGTAAAATGAATTCCTATTTTTAAACTAACTTGTTTTGAATTTTCTAACGGATTCTGTGATTTTTTTTATGGTTAAGAGCTGAATGTGGATTCTGCAGATATCATATTAGCGAGTGAAGGAAATTTATGCTCAGGGGGTGGTGATGGAAATTTTTGAAGCTAGAACTCATTGAACCAGTAAGGATTTAAAAGCAGTGTCTTCAGGAAGAGTGTCTTCAGTACCAAAATAACTACAATCTGTTGTATTAGTTATGGCGCTTTGCAATCAATATATAATTTATCATAGATTATAGATGTTATTTATTAGATTGCTTAAATGAACAGACCAAGTACCATAAGAACTGCAGCCTGCTGCAATGGTTATGGTGCCAGGAGTTTCCAGACACCCTCCCAGGGTAAGTAGTCAAATGCAAAGAGTCATGTCAGGATTAGTGATGTCCCGAACGGTTCGCCGTGGACTCATCATTGAGTAAACTTTGACCCTGTACCTCACAGTCAGCAGACACATTCCAGCCAATCAGCAGCAGACCCACCTCCTGGACAGCGTCCATTGTGAAGCTGCATTCTTAGTGAGCTGTCCAGGAGGTGGGAGGGTCTGGGAGGGAGGGTCTGCTGTTGATTGGCTGGAATGTGTCTGCTGACTGTGAGGTACAGGGTCAAAGTTTACTCAATGATGAGTCCGCGGTGAGCCGTTCGGGACATCACTAGTCAGGATGTTTTACTGAAGCCTGAATAGGCCCATACTAATTAAGGCAAAACCTTGCAATTCAGTGTGGAGCCATTCGGACTTTAAAATGTAGATATATCTGCTAAACAGCGAGCAGCCAGCCACTATAACGAAAACTCATGACTGCGCAGCTATTGCTGCCTCGTTATTAAAAAGGGCGATTGGTGGGAGCTGTGGGGAATCAAGGCATGCCCCCATATATATATTACAGACATAGAGTGGACATATGTTTGTCACCACCTCCCTTACCGATAGGCTGCGGGTGTGCGATATTAAATAATCTGGGAGGGCCGACAGACAGGCACCCTCCCTCCAACCACGGTCATCCAGTTGGATAATTAATTGGTTAATCTAATGGGGTATACATACCAGTAGCCCTATTAGTTGGGAGTGACAAATGGGGACATACCTCCCTCCCAATGCAAATGGGGAGAACAAAAGCATGCCCCATGTTTTTTTTTATCATTCCAAGCCCCCACACCCAGGTATTAATGTATTATAGTCCCAGCAGCTGACAATGGACTGTAGCCCTGAGCATTTGTTTTAAAGAATCTGAATTTTGGTCAGTTTGTTCATTTGTCAGAAATACTAATGTAAAGGTGAACTGCATTTAAAACAAAATAAATAAACAGAAAATCTAAATTGCCTACTGTACAAAAGTAGCAGAGCTGCCATTCCCATTGCCACCAACTCTTACCTGCCAGCAATGGGTGAGCAATGGGTGAGCATGGAGGGTCCCCCGCACCAGTTCCCTTCCCTTAAACTGGCCAGGAATGAGTAAGAGGTTGAAAATGTTATCGGTTATTGAAATTCGCGAAAAAGATGAACCGAATCAAATGTGATTTTGGCAAAAATAAAAAAATGTATTTACTGGGGCCTTTTTTAAGAAACTGAGCAGCAGTAGTTACCCAATGTGTTTTAACCCCAGCAATGCTGGGATATTAACATGGAGCATTTCCTCTTGCTTCCTCCTCTGAGGCTAGAAGCTCCTCAAGTTTCCTTAGTACCACCGTAGGAGCTTCCAGGCTGCAGAGGAGGAGGCGGTGACAGGCACCTGGCCCCATGTAGGTTGCCACACAATTTTTAAACCGTTTTACTACTTGTGCTGGGAGGGTGCCAGGGTAGTCTAGGCACCATAACCACTATAGGAGTGGATTGTAGTAGTTATGGTGCTTGGCGTGTTAATTTAACCAAAGTACTGCTAAGGATTTTTTTTTTTTTTTATTATTTGCCCACTTGCTAGCACTGCCAGTCGTCAAATAGTATAAATTTTGCTAAATTGCAAGTGAAATATGACCAGATGCATTGGTCACTAACTTCTTTATAATCGGTGCTTAGTAAATGTCAGGATCCTGTAATTTAAATAGGATTCAGATATGAAAAGCATTGATTTTAAAAGTTGGAGACTTAATGCATCTAGTATGATGGTGCAGACTTGGTCAAAAAGATGACAAAATTAGTGCATAAAGACAACCCAATCTCTTTTTTTTTTTTTTATAATTTTTTTTTATTCTATTCTTGTCATATTAGGCATGATGTGACACTGTAAAACAGGTAACTATTCCCATCCTCTGAGCTTGGCAATAGATTTATCCTTATCTCCCAACTATCGGGAGTGGAAAACTTGGGCAAGACCCTGAGGGAGGTGTCACTAGTGACCTGAGCCACACACTGTAAATGCCCCAAAAAGCCCACCGACAGCTTACCCGACCGACCCCCATGCAGGAGGAGCTGCTGAAGTGCTCCCTGCATGGTCCTTGTCCCTGCTGTACAGTGCCAGCACATCTAATAATCCACTTGCACTGTGCTGCCAAGGGACACTTCGCTGGTGTCTTTAGATGTGGGACACCAGGGAACTAAAGTAAGGCAAGACCTATGAATCAGATAGGTCCCACCAAAAACAGGACTGTTGGGAGACCTGTTTATGCCATGTGAATTGTACTTTTGTTAAAATAAAGCTTTAATCATGCTCAGGTGTAGGAAACCCTGATTGGCTGTCATCCTGGCACACATATGCACTAGGGTGACAAGCCTTTTTTATGGACACTTTCTAAGTGATTATATCCTTGCATTCTAAAGCACTAGTTTTTACATATGTAAAATGTGGACCTTAGTGAATAACCCCATAAGTCACTCATAAATGAGGTCTGTTTGTGCTAGTCCTGTTTTAGAAGGCACATAGATAACAATTAATGGGGCTTCTTCCTGGGCCTCGAAGTCTGTATTCATCCTTCCATCTTAGATGAGATCGAAATACCCAGCTATGGTGGTCTTTGCGTACTCTTAACCACGCCCAGTGCATTGGATCCTCTCCCATTATCTACAAAAAATTAAAAACACATAGTTTATGAGGTTAATTTGGTGTGTAGGAGTTTAGAAAATATGTAGATACGTAAAATCTTATTAATAGCCTATTTTACGGTTTAAGAAACTCTATAGGGTCAGGAACACAAACATGTATTTCTGACCCTATAGCATTAAAACCACCATCTAGCTCCCATTGCCCTCCTAAATAAAGCTAAATCTTACCTGTACTCCAGTCTGCTGCTGCTGGCTCTGCCCCTGATCTGCCTGCTTGGATTACGTCATCGGAAGTGTTGAACTGAGCCAATCAGAATGCTTTCCCATAGAAAAGCATTAGATTGGCTGTGACTGTCAAGGAGGCAGAGCCAGCACAAACCTAACACAGCCCTGGCCAATCATCATCTCCTCATACAGTTGCATTGAATCAATGCGTCTCTATGTGGAAAGTTCAGTGTCTCTATACACAGGGTGGAGACACTGAATGGCAGTGCTGTACCTTGCGAATATCCGCTTTTTATTTTCTGCAAGGTCCTCTTCAGTTCCTGGCTCTTCATCTGTCAGGAGCCCATGGCAGTTTTATTCTCTAGAACATACACAAGCGTACAATACTGATGTCTGTGGAGGGTCAAATGAGACAGTGTGGGTTCTTCCATAGAAAGAGTATTTTTCCCCCAAAACTCTTTACTAGTGATGGCTGAGGTCTTGACAAAAGCTAGTTCTGCCTTTTGTCAGGCATAGAACAAAATACATAAGACAAAGTAGTCCCTACTACTGAGCACAAAGATTTCTTCATTATGAAATGTTTGAGGGGGCGAGTGACAGAGCCTCTTTAAAGTAACATATTATCATGACAGATGCACATTTGGGAAATGTTTTAGGACTTTCCTTGTTACAAACCTGCTCGCACGTGCTGCGGGTGACAAGGCCTCGATAATTCATCCTCTCCCAGAAGAGGTTACGTAGCCTTTCAAACTCTGGCAGCAGCACAAACCATGTCTGGCCTAGAACCCAGGGATAAATCTCGCGCTGGAAAGGCTCATCTTCTTCAACCATGTTTGCCAAGGACCTGTACAAACAGTACGCCTGTAAGGTCTAATCACTGAAGGTGATCTTTCCAAGTTTGAATTATCTAAAGTGCTGGCAAATTTACAGCAAATTAGGAAAAATATTATTTTAGTCTGCTATTTGTTAGGATTTGCTATATTGGCTGAAAAAGTTAGATTTGAATTTACTTTGAATTCCTAACAATCACTTGTCTAGTGAATAACCTTTTAAGTATGAATATAGCTGCCATGACAGTATTATGGATTCAAAGTGACAGTTCCTTCCTATTTTATGTACTAAACAGGGTGTGCGCTCCTTTATGCCTGGTTATTTGTCTGACTTTTTTGTACAGTAGATCATACCCAGGCTGCATTGCCCTTTCTGCTTTTCAATCTGTTCTAATCAAAACTGGATTAACCATAAGGCGCACCGCCGTCTTTAAAGCTGGGCAAACGGGGCAGCTGCCCCCGGGCCCACTTACTCCTGGGAGGCCCAAAGCAGCTACTCCGTGGGCCCCGCTGTCCGCAAAAAAAAAAAAAAGTTATTTGCCCCCCACACACTAAGAGGGCCCGGTCGAACGATGTGGCCCCTTAACCCCTTAAGGACCAAACTTCTGGAATAAAAGGGAATCATGACATGTCACGCATGTCATGTGTCCTTAAGGGGTTAACAGCGCGAACGGGCCCCCTTGTTTTACTGCAGCAGGCTGGGAAGAAGTAAATGCCATGAGTCACTTCCTCCCAGATAGAATGAAGCTGCGCGGGATGGAGGAGGAGGAGGCCGTCAGGAGGAAGCTGGAGTGCCAGAGCCTCACACTCCCAACAACCTCAGCCTGCCACTGCACCCCAGGGAACCCATAAGGTAGGCTGGAGGGTGGTTTTATAAATGTAAACTTTGCATGTTTGTGTGTCAGTATTTGTGTGAGTCAGTATGTCTGTGTGTGTCTTAGTATGTGTGTGAGTATGTCTGTCAGGGTTTCTGTGTGTGTATGTCACCATTTCTGTGTGGGTGTCTGTGTGTGTCTTAGTATGTGTGTGAGTGTGTGTGTCAGGGTGTCTGTGTGTCTTAGTATGTCTTTCAGGACGTGTCTGTGCGTGTCAGTATGTCTTTCAGGGCGTGTCAGTATGTCTGTCAGTGTATAAAAATGTAAATGTCGCATGTGTGTGTCAGTATGTCTGTCAGTATGCGTGTGAGTATGTCTGTCAGGGTTTCTGTGTGTGTGTATGTCACCATTTATGTGTGGGTGTCTGTGTGTGTCTTAGTATGTGTGTGAGTATGTCTGTCACGGTGTGTCTTAGTATGTCTGTCTGTGTGTCAGTATATCTGTGTGTGTGTGTGTGAGTATGTGTGTCAGTATGTCTTTCAGGGCGTGTCTGTGCGTGTCAGTATGTCTTTCAGGGCATGTCAGTATGTCTGTCAGTGTGTAAAAATGTAAACGTCGCATGTGTGTGTCAGTATTTGTGTGTGTCAGTATGTCTGTCAGGGTTTCTGTGTGTGTGTATGTCACCATTTATGTTTGGGTGTCTGTGTGTGTCTTAGTATGTGTGTGAGTATGTCTGTTAGGGTGTGTCTTAGTATGTCTGTGTGTCAGTATGTCTTTCAGGGCGTGTCTGTGCGTGTCAGTATGTCTTTCACGGCGTGTCTGTGCGTGTCAGTATGTCTTTCAGGGCGTGTCTGTGCGTGTCAGTATGTCTTTTTCAGGGCATGTCAGTATGTCTGTCAGTGTGTAAAAATGTAAACGTCGCATGTGTGTGTCAATATTTGTGTGTGTCAGTATGTCTGTCAGGGTTTCTGTGTGTGTGTATGTCACCATTTATGTTTGGGTGTCTGTGTGTGTCTTAGTATGTGTGTGAGTATGTCTGTCAGGGTGTGTCTTAGTATGTCTGTCTGTGTGTCAGTATGTCTTTCAGGGCGTGTCTGTGCGTGTCAGTATGTCTTTCAGGGCGTGTCTGTGCGTGTCAGTATGTCTTTTTCAGGGCATGTCAGTGTGTAAAAATGTAAACGTCGCATGTGTGTCTCAGTATGTCTGTCAGTATGCGTGTGAGTATGTCTGTCAGGGTTTCTGTGTGTGTTTATGTCACCATTTATGTGTGGGTGTCTGTGTGTGTCTTAGTATGTGTGTGAGTATGTCTGTCAGGGTGTCTGTGTGTGTCTTAGTATGTCTGTCTGTGTCAGTATATCTGTGTGTGTGAGTATGTGTGTCTTAGTATGTCTGTGCGTGTCAGTATGTCTTTCAGGGCGTGTCTGTGCGTCTTTCAGGGCGTGTCTGTGCGTGTCAGTATGTCTGTCTGTGCGTGTCAGTTTGTCTGTCAGTGTGTAAAAATGTAAACGTCGCGTGTGTGTCAGTATTTATGTGTGTCTTAGTACGTCTGTGTGTGTGTGTGAGTGTCTGTCAGGGTGTCTGTGTGTCAGTATGTCTGTCAGTATGTATATCTGTATCTGTATTTAGTATATCTATGTTTCTCTATGTGGTCTTTGTGTATCTGCATGTGTCAGGTTTTGTATCTGCGTGTCTGTGTGTGTATATCTGTATGTTATCATTGTATGTATTTGTGTATCTGTATGTTGTCAGTGTGTGTACCTGCATGTGTATATCTGTGTGTGCATCTGTATATAGTCAATGTTTTTATCTGTGTATCTGCATTTGTGTCAGTATATGCATCAGTTTGTCTGAGTATCCATAGGTGTCAGTGTTTGTATATATGTCTCTGTATGTGCGTCAGGTTGTGTATCTGTGTGTCAGGTTGTGTATCTGTGTGTCTGTATGTGGGCCAGGTTGTGTATCTGTGTGTCTGTATGTGTGTCAGGTTGTGTATCTGTGTCAGTCTGTATCGGCATGTGTGTTAGTGTCAGTGTTTGTATCTGTGTATCTGCATGTGTTTCAGTGTGTGGCATAGTATGTGTACATGTACATACATCTCATCATTCAAATCACCAACACTACACACAAGTACACCCCTGCATTCAACCTTCAACACTACATACAAACACCAAAAATATATATATATAAACACCCCAACATTAAAAAAAAAAATACACATAGATGCATACTTGCATTCAAACACCAACACCACATACAAACACACCCCTACATTTACACAAACATATTCCATACAAAAATATGCTTCCATTCAAACACACAAACACAACTGAGTGCTAAGTACAACTCTGCAAGCATGGGAAAATGGTTCTGCTACTGCGTTGGGAAGTGGAGGTCGTGATTGCATGTCAGGGAGTGGGGGTCAGGGGGCCCCATCAAATGCTTGCCCAGGGCCCAATCAATATTAAAGACAGCCCTGATAAGGCGACCTTAGTCAGCTGCCTAGGTTCCAGTAGTTAGACAGGGGCCCTGGAGCCATCCCTATATGAATAGTGAATGGGGGGCAAACTGGTGGCCTGCTTAGGACCCTGCGGTATCTGTCTGTCTCTGGTCCTAATCCATTTATGTTTATATGTATTTTATATTGCTATACGTATGACCTACAATTTCCTAATTAAACATGCTGAAAGGAAAATAAATCCTCGTTATTGTGTTTTCTTTTAGCTATAAATAAAAGTATAAAAATGACAACTTACAGAGCAGTGAAAAACATTAGAACATTATATTCATCCAGGTCCATTTTTGCCCGATGGAAATAGGCCAGCACCATTGCTAGAAGGAACTAGAGAAACAGTGTGGGGGTTAAATTTATATATATCAGTCGTTGATTTTTAATTGTGGCCAACGAAGGCTGGAAAACGTCAAAGCACAAGAAATACACCTAAAACTGCTAAATCTTTATAATTAAACCATAACTGCTCTACAACCTGCAGCAATGAATTCTAGGTCTATACATGAAACGTTGATTAAATTAACACTCTAAACACCATAACCACTACACATTATGTAGTAGTTATGGTGTTAGGAATGTCCTGGCGCCCCTCTTTCCCATGTAAGTAGTCAAATGGTTTGTTACTTACCTGAGGCGCGCTGGTCACTTTCTCCTTTGAGAAGCCTCCTGTGTGTAGGGCCAGCTCATCAGCATCACCTGATATCTCTCAGGCAGTCAATCCTGCACTGCCGCTAGCAAATGGTTTCACTATTTATATTGGAAGGGGTGTGCTAAGGCACTCCTGGCACCATAACCACTCAATATTCTATAATGGTGGTTGAGGTGTTCCTTAAAATCGGCAATGCTCAATTATCAAAGACATCTTGCTTCTCCTGCAGGAGAGGCAGAATGTGCAGTGGGCAACTGGGGACACAAGTAAGTTGTGATCTGTTGTAAAACAATTTAACAAATTACTCTGGTATTTGTCAGTTTTAACAAAAGAATGCATGTTTGTGAGCTGTGAATTCAGCCCAGAAATAGCAGGGTTTGAAAAACAAAATCTCCAAGCTACTTACCATCTTCTATATGTTGTCCTTTAAATTTAAACTACTTGGAGTTGTACAGAGTTGACAAACATACCAAGCTATTATCCTGCGCAACAGTAGCAGATAGTGATATAGTTTTACGTTCTGAACTTAGAGACACTATAAGCACCTAGACTACTTCAGCTCATTGATTTTGGTCTGGGTGCATACCCCCGGGTCCCTTAACCCTGGAAAGGTAATTATTGCAGTTTTTAAATTAACTACAATAATTACCTATCCAGGGTTAACCCCGCTCCTAGTGGCTGTCTACTAGAGGGACTTCAGGTTTGTTGCATTAGATCATCCAGCGTCATCCAAAACCTTATAGGAAAGCATTCTATAATGCTTTCCTGTGGGGTTGTTCTATTGCGACTGCGGCCATTGCCGCACCTGCACATTAGGTCTTAGGCTATTAACAGAACATCTAAATTAAACACAATGTGCAATAAAGGACGTTGAGATCCCTCTTTACAGAAAATGTGCAGAGAGACTGTGTAGATCACATACAAGAAAGGTGTGACTAGGGCAGCATAAGCAAAGTGATTTAACGCCTAAATAGCAGACACATGAATATAGGCACCCAGACCACTTCAGTGCATTGAAGTGATTTGGGTACACTGTCCCAGTCCCCTTAACCTTGCAGTAGTAATTATTGCAGTTATTGAGAAACTTTAGTAAATACTAAACATGCTTTCCTATGGGGAGAATACTAATGGGAGCAGAGCCATTGCTGCGGAGGATGGCCCAAACCAGCGCCGAGGAACATCTGCACTGGACTCAAGTAAATGACAGAAGGGGTTTTTAACCCCCTTCTGAACCACTGAGTGGCACTATAGGGAGCTATAGTGCAATGAAAACAACTTTCCTGGCACTATAGTTTCCCTTTAAGCAATTCTCACTTTAAAATGTAAAATTGTGTTCACTGTGAATTCTGTCTTTAGTTAACCCCTTAAGGACACAACTTCCGAAATAAAAGGGGATCATGACGGAACTTCTTAAAGGGTTAATAGAATCCCATGTGACCCCAAACCTGCCCTTCACCCAGTTTCTAGGACTGAAAACATGGGTACATTTACTTTATCTGATGTCCTCAAGCACCTGTCCTGGTCAAGATACTCCTTGATGATGTCATTTTCTACAAGAAGAAGTACAGATAAAATGAAGAAAAATTTGTAAAAATAACTAAAATAGGTCAACAAAAAGACTTCTAATAACGAACCGATGGTTTGGATTTATTGTGAATCTGCAATTCACTGTTTGTATAATTAAAGAATGAAATCACCGTACAGTTCCTTGGGATTATGTTTTAGTATCCCTTAATATGAACATGTTTAATAATGTAAAATCTACAGAGTAAAAATTGTATATGTTAAGATAGAATTTTGTGTTCCTCACCAAGCAGTTTGAAAAATTCCTCCCTCTCCTCTTTTCGGACGGGACTCTCCTCCGTGGTGTTCATACTGATGGAAAGTGGGGAGATGATTTGATCTTTGGAGTTGTAAAGATCCCAGCTGTGGTCACAATTTCCCCAAATCCCCTTCTCTCAGATATTCCACAATACTGAACAGGAGTATTTATATTTTAATAGGACAACATACAGGCAGGTCATGAAATATTAAAGGGACATTCTAGACTTGAAACCCAAATCTATACACAAATAAATAATACCTAACACAATGCCGCAAGAAGCTGTTTACCGGAGTATCTGGCCCATTATTCTATCGCCCTATGTTTTATAGATATCCCCTTTTCTAACTTCCCATAACTATCTAATCCTACCATGGACCTTGCACCCTTTTCTAAAGCTCACTCCCTTCCAACTGCTCTCCAGATAACTTAATAGTGTTCTCTTCCTCTCCTTAATGTTATTCCCATTTGATATTTAATTTGTTTTTAAGACTATCAATTATTTGTGTTTAAAGTCTTTTCAACGTCTCTTGGTCTTTGTTCATGCGAGCTTCCATATCTCCCTAGTTCATGTTGTATAGAACACCTTACTTTGTTCCATCACCTGGTCCATTAGTTTATATTCCTTTATTTAAAAAAAAAAAGCTGATTCTTTTTTAAATATATTTAATTACTGTATAAATATTTTCCCTGCAAGAGCAGACTCTGCCTCACAACTGTTTCTACTATAGTTTTAAATTTACTGATTTACTTCCCTATAGAACGCCCTCCTCACACCTATAATTTTTTTTCATTTCTTTTGCTCTATTTTGTTTTTGTTTATTTTTTTAGTTCTCTTACATGCCAGGCAATCTGTATCCCCATCTTTGTACATTGTGATTTACTTCTTGTGTAGAAACTCCCCACATCTTTTAAATTAAAGGCCCGTCTAACCAGTCATCATTATGATGTCTGGTTTTTGATTGCCGAAATTTGTTTTATAGTTTTTCTCTATGAGTTATGGTTTTTTGCCCGGTTGTAGCGATACACACTATATTAAAAGCTTTTAAATGAATTAGTACTATAATTCAAATTACTGGAAAACTGAATGTTTCAACTCAAACGTGTGATGATGTGTTTGTTTAATATTTGGACAAGCAGTGATGTGCTGGCTTTTCTGTTTGGAATATCCCACCTGTCTTCCTTATTTAGAAATACTTACCGTTTGTCCTCCCCCTTAGCAAAAATACAAAGAGAAAAAAGTGTGAAATATAGTGCAGCCATCAATGTTACATGAGATCAGTTGAGAACAATAAAGGTAAGATACTGCATGTAGATATACAGGGTTAGTCACTCAGCCATGCTTTCATTTTTTCTACTTGGGCCTTCAATTTGAAATTCACTTTGAAATCCTTGCAATTGTCATTTTAGTCAATAACTCTGTATATTTCACGTTGATAAATACTCACCTTGAAGACAGATCTTCCTCGATCTCTTCATCCTGTAGATCAGGGAGACTTTTGGAAAAATACGAGGGGAAAGAATCGTGAAATGTAGTGCAGCCATCAATGTTTCATGAGAATAATGAGGCACAAGGAGGGTATATATATATATATATAGGCATCTTGTACTACAAGGAAGAAAAAGGAATCTCCTCTCACATTACTTTGTGAATTTTTAAACATAGTGCAGTAATCAACGCTTCTTCATGTGAATCAGACTCCAGGTTGCAAACTTGTTATAGGTTATATAAAATGTGTCATTCATAAATACTCACTTTGCAAATTGATCTTCTTCCAGTTCGTGCTCTTGATCCCCAAGATCTGGGAGACTATTGGAAAAATATAAAGAGAAAAAAATGTGAAATATAGTGCAGTCAGACTTTCATGACATCAGTTGAGAACAAGAAAGGGATGTAAATTCATGTTGATAAATCCCCACTTGGCAAACAGCTCTTCCTTATCCACTTCATCCTCGAGATCCGGGAGACTGTTGTAAAAATACAAAGAGAAGTAATTGTAAAATAATGTGCAGTCTATAATGCTTCATGAGAACAAGGAGGCAATTTAGGAATCTCATATTTAGGAAGCTCATACTAACAGGGAGACAATGGACATTCCTCTCGCAATAGTTGAATAGTTCAAAACAATACAACAAGCAATGTCTCTTGGTTTTAATAAATTTCTAGGTTGCAAAGTTGCTGTTAATTATTATGTACAATTTGTTATTCAGAAATGCTCACTTTGCAAACTGATCTACTTCCAGGTGGTCATCATCATTCTCAAGTTCTGGCAGACTGTTGGAAAATACAAGGAGAAAGAATAGTGAAATATAGTGCCACCATCAACGTTTTCTAAGATAGCCGAGAACAAGAAAGGTAAGACTGACATCGTATACTACAAGGGATAAAAGGACATTCCTTTGTGACTTGTTAAACATAGTGCAGCAGTCTACTTGTCTTCGTGTGAACCAGTCTCTAAATTGTTAGAAAAGACTCATTAAGTTTGTGAATAACTGCAACCATCAATATTAAAGTTTAGATGAGGAAGGGGAGAGAGGCTCATTGATCAGAATGATCAGATATTACAGGATTAGTCAAAAAATATTAAATCACTTGAAAAGCTTATCCAATAACATTAAATTGCAGCCATAGTTAAATATAGTGTCTCATTGGTAAATAGTCACTTTGCAAACAGATCTTCCTCATCCTCGTCTTCCTCGAGATCTGGGAGACTGTTGGGATGGCAAAAAAACAAAGATGAAGAATTGTGAAATATAGAGCTTCCATCAATGTTTTATGAGATCAGTTGTGTACAAAAAGGTCAGAGGCATCTATTACACCAAGAAGAAGAAAAAAGCCATTCCTTTGACATAATTTAGTAAATTGCTGTATTTATGTATATGGCTGTTCTGTGTGAATCTATCCCTAAGTCCGATGTTAGTTTTATAATACACATTTTAAAAAATTAAAAATGTTTGTGCTCACTTGGTGAAGTCGTCCTCTAGTTCTGGAAGGCTGTTAAAAAAATTAATGAAAAAGGAATTTGAACACTAGTGCAGCCTCCATTATGTTAACATTAGTTCAGTGAAAATCAACAGAGGTAAGGCAATACATGTAGAGAGAGATAATTTTATCGTTTAGAAATACCCACTTTGCAAACAAATCGTCATCTTCTGGATCCAGGATCCTTTTAAATAAAAAAAGAAAATAAATAAAAACAGTTGTGAAACATAGTGCAGCCATCACTGGAGGGAGGGAAAACCAGACAGGATCATATTAACAATAAGAAACCGGTTTATTCACTAAAGAAAATGTTAGTGAACTGAAACGGAGTTATACAGTTTACTCTATAAATGATTATACATTGTACATTGCAGACACGTACACATTACACCATCTGTCTGGTTTTTAATGGGGAGATAAGGATTACAAACGTTTTTCATTACACAATGTAATGTCCTACAGCGCAAAATGAGCAAACTCTTGCATAATGTGACAAGACATTCTCCATTTGTGGGCCTTTAATCACAATGCATGCACCTCTTGGGCTGTCTAAGGATTATGGGAGTAGTCTCCCATAGGGAGTCATCACATTTGTTATACACGGCGCTAGGTGAACATCCATTTAATTTACTGGGTTTTTGTGAGAATTCAAAGTGATTATCACATTTAAGGCCAGAGTAGGAACTGAAAGAATACCTGGCATAGAAGATGCTTCCAGTTTGGCTATTTTAACCTTAAAGAACCACTATAGTGCCAGGAAAACAAACTCCTTTTTCCTGGCACTATAGTGCCCTGAGGGTGCCCCCACCCTCAGGGTCCCAGTCCCGCCAGCTGAAGGAGTAGGAAGGGAGTTAAACACTCACCTTTCTCCAGCGCCGGGCTCCCTCGGCGCTGGGGACTCTCCTCCTCTTTTGGCCGTCATCGGCTGAATGCGCATGCGCGGCGTACACATTCAGCCAGTCCATAGGAAAGCATTCTCAATGCTTTCCCATGGACGCTGACGTCTTCTCGCCGTGAAAATCACAGTGAGGAGCGCGGAAACGCCTCTAGAGGCTGTCAATGAGACAGCTACTAGAGGCTGGATTAACCCATATGTAGGTTTACAGCAGGCAGGGTTAACCCTAGATGGACCTGGCACCCAGACCACTTCATTGAGCTGAAGTGGTCTGGGTGACTATAGTGGTCCTTTAACCTTAAATTTGAAATTCACTTTGAATTCTGAATTTAGTGAACAACCCTGCAAGTCTAGAATTCATCAGATCCAGCTTACCTTCTGTTACTGTGCGTGGTATAGACCAACAGCTGACTGGGTATTATTTGGGTAAGTATATTGTGTAGCAGTGTTAGGTAAGCAGTCTGTAAGGAAGACAGGACGTACTGCTTTAGTTTATATAGTCTAATTGTGGAGCCTGCCGGGAGCCATTGTAGTGCTGTGAGTGGCAGTTGGTGAATGGCTGGTGTCAGTTGGCTCCAAGTGGAGACACAGATTTGAAGTAAAAGTAACTCTTGTTACAATAGAAGAATAGGATCAATTGGCAGTGTATTTAGTAAATTGTTACATCGTAACTGTCAGAACCAGGAGCAGGGAACATTCAGAGCAATAGCTTTTTTCACTGGCTCTCGAACATGTAAAGATCCCACATTCGAGCTCTGTTGATGTTACTGTAATCCAATAAGCAAATGATGAAAATGTTAAAATCTGGGGGTTCTTCGTCTCTCATTCGATCGTCTTCAAAAACAGTTTGCCAACTGACAAAACCAGCATGTAACTATAGAGATATGCCAAGCATTCCAAATGCCACTGCCAGCCAATCACAGGCCTCCACAGTTTATAATGGGTAAACAGCAAGTCTTTGTTTAATTTCTTCTTTTAGAACCCTATTTTCCTATATGTAATTATAGTTCTGGTCCTTTATATTCATTTATTGTATTATATTATTTTAATAAACTTACATTAAAATGTGTTGTCTTCACTTTTTGGATTTAGATTTTACCATGTTTTCCTTTAATTAAAGGGTTTATAAAACACATTTTTTTTTGGTTAGAGTAGCCCTAACTGTCATTGCCCCCCTCAAAACAAAAACATAAAATTTACCTGCATCAACGTCAATCGTCCTCCGGTGACGATATTCCAACCAGGAATGGGAGGGTGTTGTATATCTGGGGAAGAAAGTGCAGCAGGATCCACTATGGGAAGAGGGCAGGCCGGCAGAGGCAGTGTTGTGCCCTGGAAAAATACTTCTATAAGTAAACACACTGTGTTCTCAGATCTGATTGAAAATATAGGCTGCGTGAGTCACCGCTGTGGGGGGGTTGTGTGGCTATAGCAGCATAAACAGAAATAAAAGTGATTTAACTCCTAAGTGGCAGAGAACTGAGATTGCAAGGGCATGAACTATAGATTGACTTCAGAGGTTTAAATTATAATTGTTTTCTTTTTTTCAAGGCCTGGAAAGCTTTAACGGTTTGGGCCTTATTCGTCGAATAGATGAATTTAATAAATTAAGGCACACTCCATGCACCATAATAACTACACCTTGGTAGAGTGGTTATGGAGCCAGGAGTCTCAAATAAAATATGGTGTTTAAACTGCTGCCTACGTCCACCTCCAGTGGCTTTCACTTGGACAGCCACTAAAGGGACTTCCTGGTGTCTTCTCTGCATAATCTATTTTATGGTAACAAAGAGAAAGCTAGGAAGAAGTTTGCGCCTAAAATCTATGTTCTTTACAGCTTTTTTTCTTTGTTACCATAACTCTGTATGCTTTGAGAGGGAACCGAATCCCTTTAGGTGTGCGGCCCTTTGTGGGTTGTGTTGGCGCTAATCCTTGGTCTTTTACTTATGACCTATGTTAAGCATTTCCACATGCTGCATGGAGATGCTCCCCATAGAGATGCACGGATTCAACTTATCTTTATGAGGAGATGCTGATTGATGCGCATGCACACTACCCTCCCCATGCTTCCATTGGGAAGCATTGGATTGGCAATGATAAACAGAATTGATCATCTCAGGCAAGTATGGGGGGGTGGGCGGGGGTAGCACAGAGGCCAGCACGCCACAGTTTTAAGGTGAGATAAGCTTTTTTTTTTGTGTGTGTGTTTTATAACCCATGCAAGGGAGGGGGTCCCAATAATGGTGAGGAAAACACTATAGCGTTAGGAATACATGTTTGCTGTATATATAAATTATACTGTCCAATGCAGAGGGGCAGTAAACTGGTTAACCAAAGTAAGTGTAAGTAGCATTATCCTTCTGGTATACATGGTGCTTGCGCAAAAGGGGCTTCCGGCAATCTTACCCACACCTCATCCCTGACAGATGTATAAAACTAGCAGCAGAAGAGTGGCATGTACTGCAGTTCTCAAATAGTGGCTCCTGTTCAGCTGAGATAGCTGATATGCTGAAATAAAAGTGGCTTGAAGCAACAACAGCTTAACTAGAATGTGTAAGCCAGATAAGCTCACAGAACAGGACTAAAAAACAAATTAAATTCTACCCATAAACCAGATTTTAAGAAACACTAACATTTTAATAGTGGGTATAGTACCATGAAGCGGTTCCTGCATTCTTATTTTTTTGTTTCCCTGTCATTTTCTATATTTTTGGTAAATCTCTGGCACCCTATTTTCTGCAACACCTACCTACACAGCTTGCCCATTCAGCTGTCCAAATACGGTCAAAAGCTAGACTAATTCCCCAGGTAAGGATTACAGGTTATTATGGGGCCTGAACAGTCTCTTTAATTGAACTTTCTACATACTGTACATGTGGGTGTTTAACATCCTCACCTTGGCTGCAGGGCCAAAACAAACAGCCTTTTCCTGTCACCGTTTATAGGGCTGAGTAAGACGGAGCCATCTGATTTGGTCACAAACGAAAACTTTATTAACTCTTTGTGAACCTGTCTGTGCCATGCCACCAATTACAAACTTATTTAGCTGTTACAGGACTGTTGGTAAATCATCAGGACATTTCAAACACACAAGAGCTTTTACACTTTTCTGGGGGGCGGAAGTTATAGGACTATAAGTACAAGTAGGGCTGTTTCAAAATATATATTTTTAAAATGTATCAATAGTGACATTGTATCACTGTTCTCTGTCATAAATCTCTGAATCACACCTCACATGTACATATTTTTTTATTTTTATTTATTTTAAGTAAACAACCTAGGGTATTCAATATTGGGTATGTCCAGTCTTTTTTAGTAGCGACTTAGTCACAAACACTGGCTAAAGTTAGCATTTATATTTGTTTGTTAAAAATGCAAAAAACAATTATGAACGCTAACTTTGGCCAGTGTTTGTGACTAAGTGGCTACTAAAAAAAACACTAAACATACTACATTTGCAATACTTTGGGTTGTCTTCTTTTGCAAATGGTATTCCATCATGGGGGTAATTCTCATTCCTGGGCTACCATACGCTCTCAAAGGCAACATAACCAATCTGGCAAATTTCAATGTGAAAAAACGGAGAATCAAGACTTATAATTTGACCCTGTAACTTTGAAAAACACGATAAAAACCTGTACATGGGGGTACTGTTATACTCAGGAGACTTCGCTGAACACATATTAGTGTTTCAAAACGTATCACAACAATATCATGAGTGAAAGTGCCGATTGTGTGTGAAAAATGCAAAAAAAAGTCACTTTCACAGACAATATCATCGCTGTGATATGTTTTACTGTTTTGAAACACTAATATTTGTGTTCAGCAAAGTCTCCTGAGTAAAACCGTACTCCCTATGTACAGGTTTTAGGGTGTCATGGAAAGTTACAGGGTTAAATACAGTGCTAGCAAATTAAATTCTTTGAATGGGCTAGGCATGTCACTTCTCGATATTGTGGGAGCCCTTGTGCATTTTATATAGATGGAGTGGGTGTATTTTTTAGATACACACTTTGCACTCCACAATAATGACCCACGCCTACTTAAATTTATTGGCATCACAAAAGTATCCCAACATTGGAGAGGTGGTGATATGGTTAATAAATTGGGTAAAAAAAAAAGAGATGGAGTGGGTGTATTTTTTAGATACACTACAACCCAATGGACTCAATGCTGAATTTGACCTTTTTAATTTTTTGTAAAATTCTTTTAACATGTATTTTTATTTTTTATATATTTTTTATATATATTGTTTTATATACTTTTATACTTTTCCTTTTTTTATATGAATGATTTCTTTACATTCAACTTTTAGCGATACCATACACCTCTTTTATGTTGTTACTATATAAAGATTTTCTTTGCACATGTATTTTTTTAACAATATTGGTGTTCCTTTATTCTATATAGAGTCTAATGTATGTCTCTATAGCTAAATATACTGGCCCTTTAATTGTTATATATTTATAAAATCTTGTTAATTATACAATGTAATTACTGTATGCTGAACCAATAAGCTTTGCCACATAGGCTGTCATTAAAATACATTAAGAACTGACAGCTTTTCACAGTTAGTATATATGTATAACCGTTCTTAATTTTCCCTTGTTTTGAGGATGGTGTATAAACTACTCTCCCCAGAATGCACCGCTAGTCGCGTGACGTCATTTCCGGGCGACGCACGCGACTACCGGAACTACGCACAGCATTAGGACTACACGTCCCATCAGCCCCTGCAGGTCGCGTTACATCACTTCCGATTGGCGCACGCGACCGGCCGGAAGCAGGAAGAGTGCACATACCGGGATTATGAAATTGACACCCTATATAAGGACTGAACTGACATTCCCAATTATCTATAGAAGCCCCCATTTGGGCGAAACGCGTAAAGTGGATCAAGAAGTCTGGACTTTGAACTTTGAATTTTTATTGTAGATTTTATATTCAAGATTTTTTTATTTTAATAATAAAGTTGTAGTTTGTTTCCAGCTTTGATCTACCTCTTATTCCTGTGCACCTTGGATCCTGCTTATATCCCTTGGTGGGGATCATACCACCACAAGCGTTCACCACCAGAGCAAGTTTAGTGCTCTGGAAATTGTAAGTAGGGTATTTACCCTTTGTTTTTTATTTAATACTCTTATACATATTACACTATTGGATTTTATTTGTGCTTCTATTCTATACACGTCTGTGGAGCCTTGGAAACCAGATATCACCATATCCTTAGAAGGGGATCATACCGTCCAGGCGCTATTCAGCAGAGCTCTTAGCAGCTCTGAAAAGTGTGAGTTGGTCCTTCTACTGGTTCTTATTAATATTTCACTATTGTATTATTTTACACTGGCATATTGCACTATTATTTCTATTTTTATCCTTTTAAGGTTTATATTTACTACCTCAATACTGGGATAACTTGTATGTATGTACATTTTTGTTTAATTATCCTCTACTATCCTGTGGCGCGATTTACCACTTTGTTATTGCATTTTATATAATGTGTTTGTCTATATATTCCTTTACCGGTATTGCATCATTAGCTAAGGCCTACACCAGTTTGCACATTATAGGATGGTCGCTTCTCTTAAAACCGCATTGGCTTGTTTATACATTCTATTACATGATTAGCTACAGTTTACATCAGATCGACGCATTATAGGATGAATACTACTCATAAGAGAGCAATTGCCTGCTCATCGCTGCCAACATGTGTGGACTTACTACTGGGTTGCTGCACATTGCCTAGTAATACTAAGTCAAGAATGGACATAAAACGTTATTTAACTTAGTTCAGCCTGACCCGTTATAATTTAGTGTAGACAACAGTGCATATACTTCAGTTCAGATTTAGCTCAAACTTTAACTGCTAACATATGCCGACTGAACAATAGTATACTGAGAATGGCTTATCATTACTAATGTCGGAACCGATGTGCAATATGTCATCTGCCTAACCTTTGGTATGTTACTTATGTTCAAATACTTTAAACTTTTCACCTTACTAAGCATTGACTGTTCTAATTTGATATATAATGCACTTAGTGGCATATGCTTATGAAGTATGTTTATTATAGTTCGCTTACCTCCCCTGCGTGGGGTAACTGCTTTACCTAAGAAACAATAAAAATATTTAAAACAAATTAAATTCTCTGGACGTTCGGCCTGGGTTGTCAGGCAGGTCCTTCAAATTGCAATCAATAAAAATACTTATGTAAAAATATTACTTAAATATGCACGTAGAATTTAAATACATATACGCATTTTTATATATTTGAAGTCTACGTGTATATTTATGAAATTATTTATGTAATTATGTTTATGGATATATATATTTTGTAATTTATTTATATTTAGAGATATATATACACACACACACTTACTATGACTATATACATACACACATATATACACACACACATTTTATTTACTAAACATTTTTTATTATTTTACAGATGCAGGGAGACTGCCTGTCAGTTCAGGCAGCACTATGGACGCCTATTGCGGCCGCGTGATCGCTTTTTCAGAGTGATCACATGGCCAGTGGGGCACCTAATTTGCCGAGGGGGGACTGTCTGACAGTCCTCCCAGACCGAGAGTAACACCGATCGCCGGCCGGGGAAATGGCGGCAATCAGGAAAGTAATCTATTTGTTCCTTAAGGACCGTTTTTGACTGACTAACCTAGTACGTCTGCGGTCCTTAAGGGGTTAAAAATTCAATTGTACCTTTAGCTCATATTAATAAATACATTATACACAGATTGCAAATAGAGTGTGACGGAAATAATCCACCAAAGGTAATTTAATTCATATAGCAGCAGGAAAATTGCCAAAACTTTGTCCAAAAGTCCTACATGATCCAGTGGTATCGAAAATGTATTGTAGCACGTTCTGGCATTGAAAAGGTGTCAAGCACAGAGATCGGAAAAAAGGCCATGTGGTGTATTGGCTTGTTTGGAGAGTTAAAAGGTGAAAACTACAAATTGATGATTTCACCTGTCTCAAATTTTATACACTCAACTTCTGAGCAAATCTAAATATTTCTGTAAATTAGGTCCGCACATATCCTGATTCATATACTGTGGGCTCTTTAAGATGGGCTCCATATTGTTTTGGCTTCTAGCACATTTTCCAGTTACATAAATCTTCCACATATGTGATACAGTGCTTGTTCGATGCATCGGGTCCATCCCATTTCTACTTAAAGTACTGCTGATCCGGATCTTCCTGCACAAAGCAGTATTCCTGCACTGGGCTCCTGTCATCTGTTGTCCAACAGCTCCTCTCACAGCTGAACACTATAACTGTCCCAAACTCCAGGATCAAATCTAAAAGGAAAATATGTAGATGTATCCTACAACCTTGAACAATGCATGATCACAGGCATAGCTTGGCCTCCGATAAACCAGTGTGAGGGTTCATGCCAACATAAACATCACTTAAGTGATACCAATGGGAGTTTAATATACGTTTATAACTTAAAGTGGTGCTCCAGACACTTACATAGATCAGGTTCAATGAGAAATTTAGGTTTCCAATAAATAAATACTCTAAGCACCAATACAATTTTAGCTTAATTAAGCAGTTTTAGTCTACATCATTACCATACAATCCAACTGCCAATTAGGAGTTAAATTACTTCTATTTCTGTAACCATAGCCACAGTTCTCCTGGCTTTGAGTCACAGAACCTAGATGGAAAAGTTTGGAATCAGATGTGACAGCACAGTGTGTTTCCTTTTAGAAGTTTTTATCTCATGCGCTGTTAATAGAACTTTAATCACATAGAGGAGGCTTCTGCAGACTAACAGGCTATTAACAAAGTAGGAGATAAGGCATTTTAAATGTAACAGACTGTGCAATTAAAACATTTAAACATTAGATGTCTCTTTACAGGAAATATGTATGGAGGATTTGTAAGTCACATGCAGGGGAGATGTGGCTAGGGCTACATAGAGAAAGTGATTTAAAGGTACACTTTAGACGCCTATAGCTTGCTGAGGAGTGTGTCCTATTTTTTCATTTTCCAAAAAGTGCATATTTCAATAGAAAATGACAATTTATAAATTACACACCCTGGCAGCAATTGCTCAGAGCACCTGCCTTGCAAAGACTTCTTATTGAGCTGCATTAGGAAGTGTGTGATTGGATAGCCACACAAAGTCTGAGCTGGGTTAGACAGAGAGGGCTTGCAAACGCAGCAGCTAAGAGAACTGCAGGTTTTGAAAGTAGTTTTAGATCTACCCCAAAGAAGAAAATGTATAATTAAATGCAGGCAAGTTTTAATTCCTGGTATATCTACTAAACCTTGATTTTTTTAATTTATTTTGTATTTGAGTGTCCCTATATCTCCTAAATGGCAGTGAATTATGCAGTTACACTGCAGGGGCATAATCTATAGATCAAAACAACTTGATTAAGTTTACGTTGCTATGGGGATTATGGTGTCCCTGCAATACAGAAATAAAAGTGATTTAACTCTTTAATAGAAAATTGAGCAATGAAACTTCATATGCAATGATCTATAAACAAACTGCCTAATTAAGCAAAAGTGGTTTTGGTGACTAGTGTCCCTTTCATTTTTCTAGATAATCTTTTCAAATGAATAATCTACAGATATCACCATTACAGGGACACTATGGGCATCCAGACCACTTAATCTTATTTAAGTGATCTCGGTGCCATACCCACCTAATTTTAACACTGCAGTGTAAAACGTTGCTGTTCTACAGGAACATAGCAGGTGATAAATGGCTCTAGTGGCTGTCACTCTGATAGCCGTTAGAGGCGCTTCCTCCCAAATAGAGTAAAACTTGGCTATTTGTGTCATATTGGCGCAGCACAGCATTCTGCCAAGCGTGTGCCCTAGGCTCCCGATGCTTTCCAAATAGGTGGAGTGGAATGCCAGACATCAGCACTGAGAGGGAGAAAAGTAGTAAAAATGCATGTCACCTCCATATAAGGGGAGGCCAGGGACAAGGCACTATACTGTTAGGAATACACATTGCTATAGTGTTCCTTTAATGTCTATAGGAATTCTTGTAAATAAATTATTTGAAAAGTTTTTCCTAATAGATTGGGATCATATAAAAAGCTTATCCAAAATATTAAATCGAGGCCTGAATTATCATCAATGGGCCTAATTTAATTTATGTTGGTTCTAAATTGTCCCTATCTACATTTTACGTTTCCGCTACAATTAGAGAATGGTACAGGGCTAATGGTTGATTATGAACAGACCTCAGGTGGAATGTAACCAGGTGATAAAGTCTTACCTGGATTAACACTTTGCAGCATACTGACTAGAGCTGGCATCAGCTGGAACTCAAATACTCTACGCCCCCCACACCGTGTACATGGAGGGGGCTTGAAGCCATATTCTGTGGGGCTTATAAACAAAGGGGTTCCGTTCCATGAATACCTGTAAGGATACACAAGAGTTACATAGAACTATAAAGTAAAAATATAGATCTTCCATGAAATGTAACCAGCCTTGATACATGCTTTATTATAGGAAGAAAAAGTAGATACAAAGTATTAATTGTTTAATGTGAAATAGTAACAGTCTGGGTCTTCATTCAGTGATCAAAATGAGACCACAGTCCAGGCAATGGAAGACTATCTGAAATCTCAACTATGACTGGACACACTTTGGCAATTTAGATCCCAATAAGTTCTAAAGGCTGGCAGAGTACTGTGGCATTTGTATTTCTACAACTGGGGTTCTACCTTTTGTCCAGCCCTGGTTTATGTCAACATATCTAGGCAATGAAAGAAGCCACATATTACCTATGTTTTAAAAAAAATTAAAAAGGTTTTTGTTTTTGTTTTTTTATCTGTCTATCCCCGGTGATCAGAATCTTCAATTTTTGTAACATTAGAACATTCCTTTTCTGTTACTTACCTTTAAACCCCAACCATGGGGATAATCTCCTGGCAAATCCAATGCTTCTCATAGACAAGCTTTGGGATAGAGGGCACTTGCATGTCAATCCGCAAGAAATAAAACTAATGCCGCTATATGAGAAGACTTCACTTCTGCTTTGACAAAGCAAGTACTGAAGGCAACTCTCCCCCTCAGGGAAGTTATTAATGTGCCAATTTCTCTTGATATCAGTACTTTTATAAAATAAGACAAAGGGAATATGCCCTTAAAAAGTACTTCAGCAAGCAACATTCGATATATCGGTCTTTTGACGACCTTTAAATTTGATTTCCATTGTTGAACCGCATTCTTTAATCCCTACTCTTTAGTAAGAATAGTTTTACTAATGAAGAAAAAAAAATTACTTAAAAAGGATCACTATAGGGTCAGGAACACAAACATGTATTCCTGACCCTATAGTGTTAAACCCACCATTAAGGTGGCATGTCCCCTTAAAAGCTATTAAAATTCACCTTATTGCCAGCGCCGCGCAGGTCCGTCTAGCACCGCCCCCTTGCGGACATCATCAGAAGTGCCCATTTTTAGCCAATCCAATGCTTTCCCATAGGGAAAGCATTAAGCTGGCTAAAATCGACAATGGGTGGGGCCAAACAGTTTTGGCCAATCAGCACCTCCTCATCTCCAGTTGCCATCTGATGAGTGAAAAAGCAGTTGTGGCGACAGTAACCTCGCCCCGGGCTCCTGGAGGAGCCTGCTTGCCAGCCTCCTGCATCAAGACTATGGTCTATGCGAAAAGGCTCATAAAAAACAGTTTGTACCATTTCTCCATGCTGTTCAGGAACCGAACAGACGCACGAACTATGGACCACCCGGGAGCTGGGTAAACCTTATCGGCGCATACCGATTCTTACCACAGTGTTCTACTTGTTCCCCACAAACGCAGACAGCGGTGTTTGGGCGTCAAGCTCATGGAACTAAAAACGGACACAAACTCCCAAACACCGCTGAACTTACATAAATCACCTGCGTTCGGTTCTATACAACCTGGAGGGGCACTGTTCGGTGGAATCATTTCCACGAATGAGGTGAACAAGCTATATGCTGTAATTATATGTTATGTTTGGTATTTTATGCGGCTTTTATACTCCCGAAAGAGACAGACTGTTCGCACAGATTTCATGGAATTGTTTTGAGCATAGCACCATGTGTGTGGTCGGTCAATTAAATGACTTCCATGAAAAACCCGAACCCCTGAATCAATCTGGGTGATTTTTGGTATGTTGGTCACCCATATCGGGGATATCCGAGAATGTAACTTTTGTGGGGTTTCTATGGATTTGGGGGGTACTTTTGGGATGTTTGTAAATTGTATTTTTTTTGTACCTGAGAGATAATTTAATTATATGTTGGCTTCTCAGATTATCTCTCCTAGCATTAAGCCTTGGCTTATGTGTAAGGGGTTCTGGTGACTACAGTGTCCCTTTAAGCAAAAATATAAAAAAGGTAAAAAAGTGTGGAAAGCAGGTTACGTTCAAGTAAGTAAATATTTAATGTATACATGGTCTTGGCATACATACAGACTACATGTATATTTACCAGGGGGTTGCTTCTACTACCAAGATGGCTAATGGAATGAATATGGAGACAAGGTGCGCCTGCAGCTCCCTGAATTAGGCATGAAACATCCCAGACTGTTAAACATTATGGTATGTGGCATTCTTTGAGGATGGGAGGCTGCACTTACTGATCTCTGCCGTACCATATTTTTATTTATAACCGTGAAACACCAGTATAGCATGAAACAGTGGAAAATAAGAACACCATTTACATATATACTTTTTCTAGCACAATGTATCCCTGTAAGTGATACTTAATTTTATTTATTTTTTATCCCAAACACTTGCATTTTACATAGTGGAACAAGCACTCTGTACAGAAATGTTACAGCAAAAATTGTAAATGACCTGATAATTTGTTGTCTGCAAGAGGCAATCTTCTTCATGAACTTGTAGAATACAATGTCCTGACTCCGCAAGTTATGTTTCTCATATTTTTCACTCTCTCCTTTTCCTGTACAGCTGTGAGAGTGTAATAAAAAAAACCACATAATTAGTTAGAATTTTTGTAATGCTAAACATAGTAATATGTACCATGAACAAACCTACTATTGAAACCAGGGTTCACCAGAGGAAACAAGGTAAAAAGGAAGATTAATGTCGGACTCTTTCCCACCACTTGGACATGAATTTTTAATTGTGGAAATGTCAGGGGCACCTCATTCGAAAGAATATTCTGAAGTTGTTATTCTCTTTCCTAGTTTTTGTAAGAGGATGGCATATGAGTAGCTTTGCCTCTATAAACAGAGAAGGCATTACCCTTCAGGGAAAAGAAGACTTACAAAATACCTTGGCATGTGAGACATGCTTGGGTATCATCTGTACCCTTAAAGGAGCACTATAGGGTCAGGAACACACATGTATTCCTGACCCTATAGGGCTAAAACCACCATCTAGCCACCCTGAGCCCCTCATGCCTCCCTAAATATAGTAAAATCTTACTTGTATACAAGTATGCAGCAGCTTACTTTGTCCCTGTTTCATTTAGAACTGCCAACTACCATCATAAGAAGTGGTGGCCTGATCCAATCACAATGCTTCCCCATAGGAACGGCTAAGACTGACAAAGAGGCAGATCAGGGGCAGAGCCAGCACAATTCAAACACAACCCTGGCCATTCAGCATCTCCTCATAGAGATGAATTGAATCAATGAATCTCTATGAGGAAAGTTCATTGTCTGCATGCAGAGGGAGGAGATACTGAATGTATGGATGCATTTTAGGCAGCCATGAACCAGGAAGGATCTCTACCAGCTATCTGAGGAGTGGCCAGGGAAGTTATCACTAGGCTGTAATGTAAACACTGCATTTTCTCTGGAAAGACAGTATTTACAGCAAAAAGCCTGAAGGTAATGATTCTACTCACCAGAACAAATTCAATAAGCTGTAGTTGTTCTGGTGACTATAGTGTCCCTTTAAGTATGTACTTAGTATGGTAACAGGAGGATTCAGAATTCTCACCTCTCCTGCTCTTCCTGAGGAAGACCTTCTCTTTTCTCATATTCCCGAAGGAGGTGCTGAGCATGTTTTAAATCCAAGTCAGAGGCACACTCTTCTTCATCTGCTACTGCAATGTAGTGAGAGCAAAACACAGAGTCCTCATGATGTTTTTTGCCCAACCTCTCTGATAAGGAGAGGTTCTGGAGCTGTGAAGTACAGTCTGCTTCTTGGGGCATCACAGGGCAATGTTTTGAGTTTGATACCGTGGTTGGGACAGGACATTTCTCTACAGGGTTGTCATCTACTCCCCAATTATCTGCATCATCACACCAGTCTGTGGCTGCCAGATTTTCCTGATGTCAAAACATAAGATAGAATTAAAGAAACTGTGGTTGTTTTTATAAAACAGCCTGGCCATTTTTCACGTTTAGATCTATTTTACACCTCTGCCATCGCTAATCAAGGAGAAACCTGTGATCCTTTAGCTGAAATGAGAAAGCACTATCTATTGTTTTGTTTTAGTTTTAGCAACAAATTCCAAAAAACAAAAAACAAAATAATTTTTAAATGTAAAGACTTTTTCCACATTTTTGTGTAAGACATTGTTATGGAGCAAGGTTTGTAATACTAAAGTGTAGAATAACCTAGATGGTTTATTCACTAAAAAAGTAAAATGAAAGCACATTTCAAAATTCAGACTAACGTGTCCAAGGTATGACTATATCAAGTTGGTAATATCTCCCAAATCCGATATTTTTGACATTTTGCAAATCAGTTTTTTTTTGTTTATATTTAGTACAGTTTATTTAAAAAAAGAGATAAACTCATGGTTTACCTGCAGGAACGAGGCTCCTTCACCAGACGCTGGTGCAGATACTTCTGTGCTCTGAGATCGTAAAGCCACCCAACTATATTGGAAATTCAGAAAGAAAAAGTTGAAAAGTCAGAACTAGAAGGGAATAAGACTAATTAATTAACATGATATATGGAATTGACACTTAGCAAAGGTGAGTTATGGATAATCCTATCAAGGAATTTAAATAAATTCTAGACTTATCTGGATAAAATCTATTTATTTTCTCTGAGCACTATCCACCCAGGTTCCTTCTAAATTTATAGCATAGCATGCTTATCTTAAATTTCCTTTAATTTTATCAGACCATCATTTGTCTCAAATCCCCATTATATCTTTTGTAAGCTCCCAGGCTATGTTATTAGGAACTTTGTATAAAAGAGCTTCAATGGCTAGAACTCTGTTCACAGGAAGGGCCCGCTTTACCTTTTGTATTGGTCTGTGTACAATGTTCTGCTCCCCCGCCATAGTACAGTGCTGCAGAATATATTGTCTCTTTATAAATTCCAGTAATAAATAAACAGTAGGTTTCTATCCAAGTTTACTAATTACACTGCAAGATAGTATGAGTCAGGTCAACTGCTCCTGCTAATGACCAAAATGACTGAATTTCAAGTTTTACGCCAAAATACCTGAACTGAAAACGTAGTTGACTGCATGAGGCATTTCCAATTCAACAAGTTTGGCCTAAATTTGACGTTCACTTTGAATTCCCAATATTTCACATGATAAACAATAAAATTGACAGTATTAAGCTGAGATAAACTGCCATATGGAGGTCTGAGAATACCAGTAAGCCAGGGCTCGACAAATCCCAGGTCGGCATGGCGACCCAGAAATTTGTCCTGGTACCTGGGATTTGTGAGCCCCCGAGTTGACCGGCTGCCTGAGAGCAGGGGTGGGTGGCCGACTCATGGAGGAGCTGAGGGATGGAGGCAGGCAGACGGGCTCATGCAGAGCCGAGTGAAGCATGCTGGTGGGCGGCTTACTGAGCACAAAGGGGGCGAGGGAGCTTTCCTCTCCTTGCTCTGCTCCCTCACATGCCCACCAGTGATGCCGAGGTCGTAATATGAAGTCACTCGAGCCCCACATCACTAAACAGTGCGAGAGGGAGCAGAGCAGGGAGATGACAGCAGCCCCACTTGACTCCAGGGAAACTGATCCACTCCAGCTCTCCCAAAAGTAGGGAGGCTGGGTGGACACATTAAAACAAAACAAATAATCTGAGAGTGAGTGTTGCAATATCAGTGTCTGTCTGTCAGTGTGTGTGTCTGAGTAAGTGGGTGTGTCGGTCTTTGACTGTCTGAGTGTGTGTGTCTGTCTGTGTCTATCAGTGAGTATGTAGGTGTCTGTCATGTTTAGTGACCTGCCTCCCTCTAATCACATGGGAGAGGTGTTTTTACTCACCTTTTTTCCCCTCGCCATGCTGGTGACGCCACAGCTGGCCCCACCTCCATTGCTTAGATCATTAATCTTGACAATCTCAGTCAATTTAATGCTTCCCCCATAGGAAAGCATTGGGAGACTATTGTGCATGCACAGCACAGCGTCACGCTGCACCAATCAACTTCTCATAGAGAAGCATTGAATCAGTGCATCCCTACGGTGAGAGCTGATGTAGGTGTTGACCCAGGAAGCACCTCTAGAGGCCGTCTGAGTGACTGCTGCCTAGTAACACCTCTAGTGACAATGTAAATACTACCTTTTGTCTAAAAAGGTAGTGTTTACAATGAAAAGCGTGCAGGGACAGGATATAGACCTCAGAACAATTAGATTAAGCTGTAATGGTTCTGGGGACTATAGTGTCCCTTCATGAATTGTATTTTTGACAGTTAAAAACCTGGCTTCTAACCTTTTTAGCTGGCTTCTAGATTCCAAGAAAATGTTTCCAGCCCTGCAGTAATCACCCCCATCAGCCAATATTGATTGCATTAGTAGCTTATATGCTTGGTACATTACCTTTCATGCTTCCCCCAACACGGCTTTCTGCAGCAAGCAAATACATGGATGACACGATGAAAGACTGAAGCTTCAAGGGGGCAGTACAACTGCGTAACAAGGCAGAGGGCAGCAGAACACAGTGGGCATGACGGGAAGGTCAGCATTACTTGTGAAGGAACATCCTGCCAAAAAGAGATACATTTTTAAGTGGCTCTGATAACCTCAAAATTTTTTCCTCCTAAAAATTGCTTATATTTAAGAGAAAAAAAGCAATATTTAGATATTATAATTGCTAGTAGATTATTTTAACGGTGAGTTTTTTTTTCTTTTTAAGCATGTGGCAATTCTGCCTAGAAATTCTCACTTCTCCATACTAAAGAGGCAAATGCAGACTGGCTTCCAGTAGTGGGGAGGAATACATTTATAATGAGAAACAATCACGTGAGTCATCTGATTCATATGCCCCTTTAAAGGAACACTGTAGTCACCCAAACCACTTTGTCTCATTGAAGTGGTCTGGGTGCAGTGTCCCTGTCCCCTTATTCCTGCAATGTCAACCATTACATCCACCTCTAGTGCCTGTCAGTATGCCAGCCTCTAGAGATGGTTCCTCAGCACTGAACAAGTATAACTGAGTCACTGCTTTCCCATTGGGAAGTTTGAAAGCATGCGTGGCACTTGCTTGGCATGTACATTAGGTCCCCTCTATGAAGAGCATTGGATTGGGCATCAGTGGAGGTGGCCATGCCTTCTCTGTCATGTCATGAGAGGTGAGCAGTGTGGAGGAAAAAAGTAAGACTATTTTTTAAATGTTAGTGCATCAGGGGGGGGGACCTGAAACACAGTAGAGACAGGGACTTGTATTCCTAATGCTGTAGTGTTTCTTTTAGGATTTAAAAAAAAATGCAAAGAAAAATGTGATTATTTGTCAAAAGTTATTAAGAGGCTGGGAGTATTCCATTAAGAACACAACATGTTTGAGAGAAAAAAAAAAAAAACGACAGGAGTTTTTCAGTAGTATTAGTAGTTTAGTGGCAAATTTTAGTTTAAATACGCAATATGTTTACCACTGTGACCTTACCGGGAGACCACCTATTTTACTGATGTCCGAAGAGGAAGTGTGACATTCTAGAGGTGCATCTTTAAAGCCGAGAAGAACGCTCTGTCCAGAGGTGCACTGCGCCATTAAACCAAGTGAAAACCAGAGAAGAGGCTTACAAATACAGGTACATGTACGTGTTCTGTAAGAGGAGTCGTGTCCTACAAGAAAACATTTAAATTGATCAATGGGGCAAAAGGTTAAGGATTGTGAGTCATACATGGTACAAAACATTGTATACTTGTCAGACTATAAGCATACAATCTACATGGATTTGAAGTGCTCATGGTACCTGAGGTCTGTATGTGCATCGTTTTGCTATGAAACATGAACAGACAGTAATTAACACTTCAGCTTAATGATCCTTGGCAGTGTCGTTAGCCAGCCCGGAACAAACTGAACAAAGTCAGTTATGTGCAAAATTTTCATCTGACACCAGCATGAACACGCCAAGTAGCCAATAGCGGCGCCCTCTGCCTTTGTCTCCTTTTCGCAGTACACCCTCCCTGACCTCCTTTCTTATCCAGAAAGTGAAGTGACTTAACTGGAGGAAGATCAGGCTGGGGGAGAACTTGGTAACAGCACTGGAAAAAAAATATATAACTTTTGCTTAACTTTTTGGGGCGTGCCGTGGCGGATCACCCAAGAGGGGGTTACCTACATCCAAAATCAGTATTTTATGAAAAAATGTGTTTTGATTGGAATAACCCATCAGGGTAATATGGCACCATAACCACTAGAAATCACTGTAGTGGATATGGTGATAAGAGTTCCCTCAGTAAAGTTGTTAATGAAGTTGTTATGGTGACTGTAGTGTCCCTTTAAGTAGAACTATGTTTTTTTTGTAATTGGTTCAGTAGATACTGCTGCCTGGTTACAAGGAACATTGTATCAAGATTGAAACGTTGTGTTCTGTACTCAGAATAAAAAAAACCACAGTGGGCACACGCTCCTGATAACATACACTAAAACCGGACAAAAGCATTTAGTGCAAATTAATTCAAAATCCACAATTTCTAAACAGAGAGATTGGAAATAAATAATATACAATCTCAATGTTCTAATGATTTCCTGTGGCATATAATGAAACCTGTGTCTCAGCACTGGTCTGAGAGTGTGTGTCTGTCTGTGTCTATCAGTGAGTATGTAGGTGTCTGTCATGTTTAGTGACCTGCAGTTTGTATTAATAAAACCATGGCTGAGGGAGTGCCATTGCAACATCACTCTGTACAACTGTGCCTAGCATTCAGCGGTCCAGCTTTTGAGGACTACAGCTCCCATCATGCTTAGCCAGCCCAGAGCTTGTCTGAGCATCACTGATTTATATTAATAATGGAAGATGCTGAGTGTGATGGGAGTGTTTACCTGAGGCTGGCTCTCCCCTGTCAGCTCACAGTGCAGTGTAACATGCCCAGGCCTGGTAACACGTGCTCACACTGTAGCGAGCCTGACAAACCTGAGACATTCTAACCTGCTGCCCTGTGTCACCCTCCACCAGAGACAGGCCGACCAATCGGATCGCACGGAGCTGACCAATGGCTGAGAACATGCAGATTACTTCCTCATGAGGTCACAGCCTGTCAGTCACACCAGGAGGGCGGGGCTTCTCATTAACCCTGTCTCTCCTGGAATGTACTCATAAATGCTGACATGGGAATAAATATCCTATCACTCGGAATCTATTTGGCCATTTCATATCATGAGCTCATATGTCATGTTTCACCCTGTCATTACACAGACCATGCCATTCTCTGCTACACCCCATTATCCCAAGTCATTCCATATCACACCCCATTATCCCAAGTCATTCCGTATCACACCCCATTATCCCATGTGCTGTCATTCCATATCACACCCCGTTATCCCATGTCATTCCATATCACCCCCCATTATCCCATGTCATTCTATATCACACCCCATTATCTCATGCACTATGTCCAATTCCATACATCACACCCCCCATTATCCCATGTCATTCCATATCACACCCCATTATCCCAAGTCATTCCATATCACACCCCATTATCCCAAGTCATTCCATATCACACACCCCATTATCCCATGTCTGCTGTCATCACCACCCCATTATGCCATTGCAACATCACTCTGTACAACTGTGCCTAGCATTCAGCGGTCCAGCTTTTGAGGACTACAGCTCCCATCATGCTTAGCCAGCCCAGAGCTTGTCTGAGCATCACTGATTTATATTAATAATGGAAGATGCTGAGTGTGATGGGAGTGTTTACCTGAGGCTGGCTCTCCCCTGTCAGCTCACAGTGCAGTGTAACATGCCCAGGCCTGGTAACACGTGCTCACACTGTAGCGAGCCTGACAAACCTGAGACATTCTATGCTGCCCTGTGTCACCCTCCACCAGAGACAGGCCGACCAATCGGATCGCACGGAGCTGACCAATGGCTGAGAACATGCAGATTACTTCCTCATGAGGTCACAGCCTGTCAGTCACACCAGGAGGGCGGGGCTTCTCATTAACCCTGTCTCTCCTGGAATGTACTCATAAATGCTGACATGGGAATAAATATCCTATCACTCGGAATCTATTTGGCCATTTCATATCATGAGCTCATATGTCATGTTTCACCCTGTCATTACACAGACCATGCCATTCTCTGCTACACCCCATTATCCCAAGTCATTCCATATCACACCCCATTATCCCAAGTCATTCCGTATCACACCCCATTATCCCATGTGCTGTCATTCCATATCACACCCCATTATCCCATGTCATTCCATATCACACCCCGTTATCCCATGTCATTCCATATCACCCCCCATTATCCCATGTCATTCTATATCACACCCCATTATCTCATGCACTATGTCATTCCATATCACACCCCATTATCCCATGTGCTATGTCATTCCATATCACACCCCATTATCCCATGTCATTCCATATCACACCCCATTATCCCAAGTCATTCCATATCACACCCCATTATCCCATTATCCCATGTGCTGTCATTCCATATCACACCCCATTATCCCATGTCATTCCATATCACACCCCATTATCCCATGTCATTCCATATCACACCCCATTATCCCATGCACTATGTCATTCCATATCACACCCCATTATCCCATGTGCTATGTCATTCCATATCACACCCCATTATCCCATGTATGTCATTCCATATCACACCCCATTATCCCATGTGTCACATGTCATTCCATATCACACCCCATTATCCCATGCGCTGTCATTCCATATCACACCCCATTATCCTATGTGCTATGTCATTCCATGTCACACCCCATTATCCCATGTCATTCCATATCACACCCCATTATCCCATGTCCCATGTCATTCCATATCACACCCCATTATCCCATGTCATTCCATATCACACCCCATTATCCCATGTCATTCCATATCACACCCCATTATCCCATGCGCTGTCATTCCATATCACACCCCATTATCCCATGTGCTATGTCATTCCATATCACACCCCATTATCCCATGTCATTCCATATCACACCCCATTATCCCAAGTCATTCCGTATCACACCCCATTATCCCATGTGCTGTCATTCCATATCACACCCCATTATCCCATGCGCTACGTCATTCCATATCACACCCCATTA